CACTCAGCCAACTAACATCCACACATTTTCTGAACCATTTATTATTCATTACTCCCCGCTGCTGCCCAAACTCTCCAGTGCTGAACGGAAGCATTTTCTGCTCTCAGCACATACCGGTGAGACCCAGGAGTGCAGGCTTAAGAGGGAAAAGTCAGCGCATTAAATATTAGGACCTCGTTCGTGATAGTGAGTTGCTTTCATATAAAGATCTTTATATATATCCTTAGATATAGATATAGATGCTTTCTCATTCCTGGATAACAACTATGGTCTTCATGAGCATCTGAGTGTCTGTGCTGCTCTATGATAAACTGGGGGACATGACAGAGTTGGCAGGAATGAAAACGGAGTAAAACACATGAATGAATGGAATGCACCTTTTACATTAATTAGAGAATGGTATTGTACAGTAAACTTCATTCACAATGGAGGTGAACAAATATAATTTAATACCTGTTCATGTGGAAATAAAGCAGGAAAATAATAACAGGAAACTGCTTGAGACATCAACATCTGTCTGTGACCTTGAGGAGTGCCCCCCTCACTCTCACACACACACAACCACACACACATAGTTGGAGCAACAGTAGATTTCCAGAGCATAACCAGAAATGCTAGACCAAATGATGTGAGTAATGCGACTGAACTTGCCTTTCAAGCTGTAAGCACACATTCCTCTGTATTTCCACCGCAACACACACACACACACACACACACACACACACACACACACACACACACACACACACACACACACACACACACACACACACACACACACACACACACAGAGACAGAGAGACAGAGAGACAGAGAGATGGGGGAGAGAGAGTGAGAGGCGACATGAAAGTACAGCAGGTGTAAAATAAAGGGTCAAAATGTTCCATATAAACCTAAAAAATATTCCCTTTAAAGCAGCACGTGTGTCCTCTACAGTGCATCGTATTTCTACACGAGCATTATCGCGTAAATACACTGTTAGCATTATGCAATAAATAACTCGTATTTATCCCTATATTGCATTCATCGCCAAAAACACGAAATACCATATTCGATCCACCTGCACACTCCTCTGTCCATTCATGCTTTCAGTTAACAATGAAAAAGCATTTTTACCCAGCAGGAGAGAGCTAATTCACCCTCATCCAGACAACTTTCCCGACATCAGGGAATGTGGGTGGCATTCATTCCCTTTATCCCAGCAACGCGTTTCTGTCTGTAAACGCTAAAATGCCATGCAACAAGAAAACACAATTCTAATTTCTAACACTTTAAAACCTACAATGTCGGACGGTTTACCTGCAAGACGAGGACGCTTCGGTCAGTCCCTCCAAACCGCTCCGTCTGTAGCGGTACAGCAACACACACATTCCCCCTGCTCAGCTTCAGGTTCCCCCACAGAGAGATCATCATCATCCTCGTCGGCCACCATTGGAAAGCGCGCCACCGTGCGGCAGACGAGAGCGCGCCTTGCAACAGGTGGATGGAGGGAGGGACCAGAACGTTCTTATTATACATCCATGGCCAGAACGCCAGAACAGGTTGGGGTTGGGATGCTGCCTTCAAGTGTCCTCGGGAAACATAGGAAACAGCCCATTATAACCGTTGTGATATGTCAAATTAGCTATGACTTTTACTGAGCTGGTTAAGATAAGATAAGATAAGATAAGAAGTACTTTATTGATCCCAATTTGGGAAATGTTTGTGTTGCAGCAGCATAAAAAGACATGGCATTGTACAATAACAAATATATATACATGTGAATTACAAAATGTACAGTAACAAATATAAAGCAAGTTATTATACATAAGTATGTGAGGCATGGAATATTAAATATTACACACCAGAGTACCCATTCAACAACTTATAACATTGTATTTAATGTATTCAAAGTAAGCATTATTTAACTAAAGGCTGCATGGAAGCCATTCAACTTCTTAATTATTGTCTAGACATTTTATACCAAAGAAATGACACTTGTTAGTATCTTACATTTTTCCACTTTCTATGTGTTGTGTTAATGTACATATTGTTGGACTATTAGGTCTATCTTTTAATATTCCATATCATTGGTATGTGTTCTTTGCACGTCCTCTGGAATATTTGTTTGCACATCCCAGTATATTGTAAATATTTTATTATATTTTTTACGTATTTCTACAATTCTTAATATTATATTTATTTTAAATCTATATATTTTTCATTATATATTTTTTTTAACTATTTTTTATTCTAAAACATGTTTGTTGATTATGCACCAATACACAAAAGTAATGTATTACATTGCATGTAAAAAACTAAATTGGCAATAAGCCAGATTCTGATGTTGAGTAACTCCTTTTTAAATGTTTATAACTCTCCCATGATAGCAGTTATTTGTTATAGGACGTCTACACATTTGTAGACGTCCTTTGTTACAATTTTACTCTAGCTTTTTGATACAAATATTTAAAATTGAGATCAGTTAAACATATAAACATGTTGTTATTATTACTGTTGTTGTTATAATCAGTAGAAATGGGTATTGCAGCAGCAGTAGCAGTGGTATTATTGTTTAATTATTAAATGCTATACCAAAATATATTAATGGTTTCCAATAGTTTGTGGTGTATCCATTAAGATTGCACTGTGATCAGTAGGCGAGGTATTTCCCCAGCCATCAGCTACCGGAAGTGAAGCTAGAAAATATGTCTGCGGTTTCTGGCGCTTCAAAAATAAAAGCTCATGAATTGGCAAAATTGTTCATTGTACTTATTCCATGGATATAGTAGCAGATGTATATTAACGTAGGCTCATGTCATGTCTTAACTCTCCTGTTGTGTTCGGGTCAAATCTGACTGATTTACTACTTTCATCAATCATAACTTATTTGTTTTACATTCGATTGCATTAAGGCTTTATGATATCCTTCACAGTAGACATTTGAACATATTAAATTGCTGATCACCACTTTCATTGAATTTTGGATGATTTAGTCAACTTTGTAACACCCATGGTGTTCCCGGTCAAAAATTACCGCCATAAAGAAAAGGAATTAGTAACCATCCAGATCAGATTCATAAAACACACACACAAATACCCACGCACACACACACACATACACTGGATGTGTTCCCCCCCCCCCTTATGTGCCCATCCCCATGTGAATCACACCTGGCACACACAAACACATGCACAAACACACACAGAACAATTTGATACATTTCCCGCTCGTATGTGCCCATCCCCCCACATGGATCACACCTGGCACACGCAATACATGTTCAGTGTCTATTCTTTGTATATTTACTGCAGTTTGTCATGTATACCAGTAGTCTGATACAATATTTACAGTTTGAAATGGTGTTAAATGAAATTTGGTGATGATTAATGGTTTTTGTGTTAATGTATAGCAGTTAAAACAGGACCGGTCAAATTTGACCGCGAACACCAAAGTAAGGGGGGGGAAACGAAGACAATAGGAGGGTTAATGAGACTTTACATTTTAGAATTAACAAACTAATCACGACTGGGCCTATGATCCATTTGTTCACACGTATAAATGTAACATTTTGCAAATTTCTGCTCAAAACTACCTCTTTTTAAATCTGCACAGCTCTCCACTTAAATATAGTATATAGTATTTGTGATATTTTATTATATTTTACTTTACTCAGTCTGTCAAATATGTATATGTTGTGTAAATATTGTCTTTATTTATGTCTTTATAAATATGTATGAGGCGGCTGTGGTGCAGTGGATAGTGCGTTCGGATCAGGGGGACACAGATTCAAACCCCACTGCAGTCAGCATGTCGTTGTGTGTTAGTCTGAACAATGATTATTTGAGTTCCTGGACCTGAACTACAGTATCAGACTTCAAATGTTTCTGTTTCCTTGCTGTAACAATGTACATTTCCCCTCTTTGGACGAATAAGGGTATTCTGATTCTGATTTTGATTCTGATTCAGTGTATATTCACAGAGCAAGTTAAAACATAACTTTAACAGTCACACACTTTCTGCTTCCCTTTCCATTACAGCATTTAATACCAGAGGACAAAGACACTGACTTGTGCCCCTACTGCCTACAAGTGGCCAAAAACAAGTACTTTTACAGATTCAAACCACAAACATCTTATAAATGCACTTTTGAAAATGGCACCTGAACTGTAGTTTTCTCATATAAAAGGATATAACATGATAAATGGAAATCATATTATATCTGATGGTATTTGATAAACATTTGTTTGTGCAAGTTTGTGTTACGTGGAAATTACTAAAACAAAACATAACAAAATACTTTTAAAGCTTCAAACCACAAACATGCTTTATTCTCAGGAATGCACTTGCAATTGATGAACTTCTGAACATGGCAAGTGAAAGAATATATTATGATTGATAGTCATTTAATAAATGAAGTTGCAATAGTGGCAGTAGCGTGGAGAGGGAAACATTGATACTACATGTGAATGATTATTTATATAATGATTATATAATAAAGGTATTAATGTAATGTGATGTTTGACATAAATGTCTTTATGATCAGATATGTGAAAAGCATCTATACAATTGGCCTGTTTATATGATCTTGATGTAGGAAAACATTATTATACTTAACATGTATATTATTGTTGTGGTGACAGTATGATATGAGTCTTACCTCATGTATATTTAAAAATATATATATTATTATGATTGTTTTTATTAATTAATTTGATTTATTGGTTTATATAGTATTTTTTCTCTCTGTTTTTATTAGTTTTTGTTATTATTTTGAACTAAATTATTAATTTTAAATTAATTAACAATAATTGTCATTTCTTTTTAATTATGTATTTTTTTATCTTAAAAGCCAATGTAGTTACAAAGAAAAATGCACATATTTATACACACATAAAAACACAAACACTTTTATACGTTTTCATTCATTTAAGTTTGAGATCGTATTCAATCGAATCACCTGTGTAAGTCTATAACATTCATGGAAATGAAGGTTGGTAAAATGACTTCTTTACACACATATAAGTGTACATTCATGTCTTTATTGTGGTCAAAAGCATGTTAACAGAGTAACAGTTTCACAGTGACCTGGTTCAATCAGACATATGTAACATCTCAGTAAGGACAAGTTGTGCGAGATGCACAAATTGAGGGAAGAGGGAAAGAACATGTTTTATCATTCCATTTGCGATCAGATTCCAAGTTGTTGTGGACACAGCCTTCATTCCTCTCATTGTTCGGCTCTCCTGAACTCCAAGAGACAAAGTTGACTGCTGACCCATCAGACCACATCCATCTTCCCTCCTTCTGGGTGTCACTGAGTCCGATCCAGGTGTATCCCTCAGTAGGGTCATAGTTCTCGATCAGTGATTTGACGAAATTCTCTTCCCCTTGACTGTGGATAGACACCAGGTTGCCTCCCTGGGACACACAGTGGAGCTCTGCATCAGCCCAGTCCATGTCTGCGGCGATGTACTTGTAGCAGCGGCTGTTGAAGGAGTACCAGAACATGGGACAGCTGCCACGCTCAAGCTTAACTTGAGGGTCATCTGAAGGAGACACAGCACCCAGAACAAGACCCAACAGGAAGAGGAACAACAGCATGATGATGTCTCTCCGTCACAGGAGCAGGATGAAGGGTTGTTTGTTGGTTGAGTTTATTTGAAGCGTTCGATGGGATAGAGACTCTGAAGGAGTCAGATGAAAGGCTGCTTTTTTATTTATGCATCGGAGAGGGTGTTTCACTGTTGGCTTAATATTATTGGTCAGCTGAACTTGGCATACTCTGTCTGTTTTACACAACCACGCAGTATCTGGACGTCTGGAACTGTTGTTACACCTGTGCTGTTCCCACATTTATCTGATACACAGAGACTGAAAAAGACATGGAAACATGTTGTAATAGTTTGAATCAACACAAACAAGCAAGTGAAATACAGCATCTGTGGAATACAAAATGTCCCTGTTGTTACTGTTTACTGTTTTGCTAATTCTTTGAATATTACATTTGTACTTGCATAATGAAGATTAAATGAATTTTGTGTTATTACATAATGTGCCTGGGCAAGACACTTCACCCCAAATTGCTCCTGTGGGGATTGCCCACAGTATTGAGTATGTAAGTCGCTTTGGATAAAAGCGTCTAACAATACATAACATACAATGTAATTTAATGTATTTTTCAATTATTGTTACAATGGTCTATATAGATGGGCGGTGGTGGCGAAGTCGATAGGGACTTGGCTTGGCAACTGGAAGGTCACCAGTTCGAGTCCCGGCAAGACCAAGTGCTACCGAGGTGTCCCTGAGCAAGGCTACACTGCTCCCCACGGCAGCACACTGCTCCTAACACTAGGATGGGTCAAATGCAGAGGAACAATTTCGTTACATAGTGCCTGTACTGTGAAATGACAATAAGAGCAATTTATTTATTATTATTATTACATTCGGTGCCATTTAGGTCCCACCACATTATATCATACATTTTGTATTTTAAAGGTCTAATGCTTATTTTTTAAAAGCTTGGTTTTAAATGTTTATATACCCTCTACAATAAAACAACAATGTTATTTAGCCAGGATATTCAAAATTCTAAATAATTACTCTGATTTTAGCACAAGTAGGCCAAATTGCTGTGTCCCCAATCATGTTTGCTCAACTTCTGTAACAGATATACAAAAAGAAATCAAAGAAATACAAACAAATTCTACATTTTTGTCACTGTTGTATAACCCTTTTGCTAATATTCCTCACCAAATTGAAATTGTTGTTATTAATTCATTTTTAATAATGTGTCCCCTGTTTGAATGTCCCCCCTGTTACTCTGATTTGAATCCCTCTGGACACGCCCCTTTACTTGTATGACTCAAGAAGAAGAAGGATACATTTTGAGTGGGAAAATCATCTTCAAGAAGCAGAGTGAATGCGTTCTTCCTTCAACGTTTTTTTAATGTTTTAAAAAACGTAACTGTTGCGGTAAAGCATAACATGTCCACCCTGTTATGCTCATTTTTAGTGGAACTGATCATTTGTTTTACATTTAGAAAATATGGTGAATATATCTATCAAATATATGTTTCTGTTGTCACCAAGTGCTAGCTTGATTATCATCACACATGTAGCAATAGCCAAGTTTAGCATAACATGTCCACCCTGTTACTATTTTTCACAGTAACTGGGGATGGTAAAAAATGTTTTTAAACATAATATCCTGAGCTTGACCAACATATTTTTCTTATACTTTAACAAGCCATCATTCAGATTAAATAAAAAAAAACATGGGAAATTATGTTTTTTATTTTTGAATACCCTAGCTGAAATGGCACCGAATGCTAGGAATGACCCTTTTATAATAGTACTATTTTTTGCTACGCAATCTACTTTATGTGTTGTATATGCACCGTTTATACCAAAGCAAATTCCTTGCATGTGTAAACTTACTTGGTAATAAAACTGATTCTGATAATGGTTTCGAACGGACTTCATTTTGAAAATCCTCACCGGATGTAATGTCCTTCGTGATGGCTGGTACAGAGCCGGGCTGGTAGCTTGGGTAACAGCAGCGATGGATAACATTAAGCTAGTAGCGTATATTTAGTGCTTTTTAAATATCATAATCACAGTTTAAAGGAACGTAAGGATGTGGGAGAAGTTTGAAAATAACCGATAAACACTTTGAAGGATTGTTCGAGTCCATTATATCAGGTGGGTGGTCACCGGAAGCAATTTTTTAGCCGTCTTTTTGTGTTAGCATCTCATCCTCAAGTATGCAAATTAGCCTTAATGACAGTGCTAAAAGCTTTATATATAGCATACAGTCTATGGTTAAAAGCGAAAGCAAAATAAGAACCTTATCAATTATCACAATATGGAAGGATTTCCAGAATAATAAGGTTAATCACTAATAAAACATATGTTCTCACTTGTTCAGTTCAAGCCCCCAGGAAGTGCCAGACTTTGAAGCAAATTGTCGTAGTGGCCGGTACTTATAAGTAATGTTGTTGTCTGATGAAATATAGACTATTCAGACAGTCATATTAATACATCTAAATGAATTATTTTTACTGGAACTGAAAAATATACCTTTATAAACATATATACCTCAAACCTGAAATATAAATATGGCTGTATATAATAACACTTTTGCATTATCGCATTTTGCATTATCGCCCACCCCTAGGTACTACAACTCACGTGACGTAATTTTGGCCCAAAAATACTTACGTCTTACGTCTGTAAATCAGCGTATCATATTGTACTAAATAAACTACCCAGCACGAACAATTTCATAGCCCTTATTTAAATCATTATGGTCCAAAAGTTGTAAAATGTGGTAAAAGCTGAAAGCCGAGAGCGGGAAGTCGGAGGAGGGGCTTAATGGAAACTCCACTGCGCATGCTCTGTAGTGAAATCCTGGATGATACGGGTACTTTCTGAATCTACGGTCGCTACATTTTGGGCTTCACTCGCCACTGAGCAACTCTCAGAGGAATGAACGGTGTAACCAGTTATCTTTATACTTCCATGGTTCAGCTCCCTGATGTCTGTTGTGGGTTTGTTTTGTCTTGCAGTCTCGTCAAATGACGGATCTATTTTATGAGACAGGCAGGTGTGTCAGACCTCATTTCATTAGGCTTGTTGCAAGATTAAACCACATCTACTCCGGATTTGGAAGTAGCAGTCGCAGCAGGAGCGAGGACAACGTGCAGGAAGCCGGGGAACGGAGCCGGCATTTGGGCCATGGCCACCGCTCGTTTCCCCGGGAAGAGTGCGGACGTGGCCGCAGGAAATTGGAGTTCTCCTCCTGGCCGGCTGGTGTGTGTGAACGGGACCCCGTGGATCCTCTACCTGCTGGAGGAGTGTGTGGACAATGTGTGGGAGTACTGCAGCGTGGTGATAGGACTAATATCCATGTTCTGCTTTCTGCTGTCCACTCTGCCGTAAGTAGCATCAAGAAGTGTCCCTCTGATAACAACAATAAACTGTTAAACACACACACACACACACACACACACACACACACACACACACACACACACATCCTGTTACACTAAACATCCACACACACACACATCCTGTTACACTAAACATCCACTGTGTTAAGATAAGAGGTGGGGAAAGTACTCAGATATAGTACTTAAGTAAAAGTAGAAGTACCAAAGTGTAGCAATACTTTCTTACAAGTAAAAGTCCTGTATTAAAATGTTACTCAAGTGAAAGGACAAAAGTATTGGCATCTAAATATACCTAAAGTTCCAAAAGTAATGTAGATTGGCCCATTTCTCAATCATATATATATATTATTTGTTTTGATTGTAAATGTTGATGTATTGATTTGCTTATCAAGCTGGTCAGGGTGGAACACATGTTATTGACTTTATTTACCTCTGAATTGTAGTGGAGTAGAATGACCAAGTAACATAAAATGGAAATACTCAAGTAAAGTTCTAGTACCTTAAACATTGCTATGAGAATTATAATTTGGATAACAATAAGTACATAACTGTACATTATATATGTATAGTTTATTTAGCTTTAGAATGTACCGTCAATATGAATGTTACTTCCAAATCCATCTAGCTCGTTTTTATAAAGTAGGGTTAGGGTAAGACATTCCATTTTTATTTCAGTGCCCTTTCTCACTACATTCTTACAGTCTTCAATTGTATGATGTTGTTTACATAATATATCAATATTAGATTACAAATATTATATATATTTTATGGATCCCATTATTGGATTTTTTTTAAGATAGATAGTTATTCAGGTGAAAGTGTTTGTGGTTAGGAAATAACTCTATCTTGTCCAATGCGTTCTTTCTCTCCAGGCAGGTGTACGAGGCCTATAGGAACGGTAAAGGGGAGGAGGCCATGTCGTTTGGCTTTCTCTTCTTCCTCTTCAGTGGAGACTTGACCAGCTTTGCAGGCTGCTACCTCACCAGCCAGCTGCCTATTCAGGTAAACAAACACATGCTCTTTCATTATCTGTTTGTGTGTGTGTTTGTGTTTGTTTGTTCGTGCTGTGAACTCAATGACAGGGCTGTTAAGTTTGACAGCCCTTTGTTCTAGGTTTCATAACCCTATAAGGAACCACTATAACAATATAAACTCCTTGACTCATGAACCAGAAAATATTATTTGGTACATTTTAAGGATTTGGTTTAATTGTAAGGTTTCTTTTTCCATGTCCTCTCTCAGGTAATCACAGTGGTGTTCTACATCTTCACAGACCTGATCCTCATCTCCCAGTTTCTTTACTATAAGATCAAGAACAGCTCGAGCAGAAGTAAGCCACATCCTGACACATTAATGAAGAGCATAAGCATGAGGGAGGAAGTGTTTCCTGCTGTTAAAATCAATTATAATCTGAGCTGGCTTCATAGATGACACAGGCACAGTTGTTATGTAATTACAGTGTTGAGTTGTGACCACCAGAGCCAAAAGCGCATGACTGCCTAATGACTCATGTTGAAAAACAACACGCTGCTTATACTGTATATGAATCACAATCACAATCAGAATCACCTTCACTTGTCCCACAGAGGGGACATTTGAATTGTTACAGCAAAGGGAGGGGGGGCAGTATAGATAGAGACACAAATAAAACACTTTTAAGTCAAAAAAAGGCATGCAGATAATACAATAAAATACAAATAAGTTAGCAATCAAGGAAAACAAAGAGAAGTAGCAGTATTATAAAATAAGTGGAAAATGTAGAAAGTAGCAGCCGGATAACAGTAGTAAAAGAAAAGCATATATATATATATTGCACACAATATTTACATACATATACAAAGTTAAAGTATCAATGTGCAATAAAAAATAAAAATATGTATATAAAAATAAGAAAAAGTCCAATACAAAAAAGAAAAACAAGTTAACTTAAAATGTACAGTAAAAAGTTATTTTACAGTATTAAATAGGGATGGGTACCGAGCCCCGGTATTATACGGGCCCCGGGGCTGAATTATTAAAGACCGTGGTACCGTTAAGCTCCGACGTTATCAGTCTTTTTATCGGTACTGGAGACATATATAAAAATATGTATTATGCTACACAAACATTATATTGCAGTTTTAGTGTCGCCAACTCCGTTTCCAATACGCAAAAAGACTGCAAAATGCTTCTATGATTATTTTTAGTATTTTCGATCTTTTCCAATCCAGACGAGAGATCTCTCTCTCCCCGCCTGTGTGCGAGGGGGCGGGGCAGGTTACACACACGCAGCTGCTACATGCAGCAACACGCACACACACACGGCGGAGATGGCGAGGAGAACTAAGCACTCCGAGGTGTAGTTAAACTTTACCCGTCTCGATGTGGATAATGCTCGTTGCCAAAAGTGCAATAAGAGTTTAGCATGTGAGGGCGGTAACACGAGCAATTTGTCTAAACATCTTGCAAAAGTGCACCACATTCAGACGGAGGAATGCACCGGGTTCGACTGTATGCTAGCAGCAACACACGGAGCTAACTCAATTAAACAAACATGGGTTAATGATTAGAGGTAACTGAGTTATTGATTTAGTTAAAGTTTCAGCTATTCTGTTTACAGTTCTGTCATCAGATTATTTACTACGATTTGTTAAAACATTGTTGTTTCTTTTGATGTGAAATATTATTTATTTAATTGAAATAAAAAGCAATGTTAGTTTTGTTCACAATTTGTTTAGTTAGTTTACCTTTTTTTCTCTCCAAAAGAACCGATAAAAGTACCGTTAAAAGACCGGATCGATAAGCGGTATCGATAAAAGTAGTAGTACCGTTAAAACCTTAACGATACCCATCCCTAGTATTAAATAATGCAAAGAAGTAGCCAGAAATAGGAATAAGAAAAGAGTACATATTATTATTATGTATTTCATCTTTTTAATTTTAATATAATAATATTACATTACTTTTGTTGTTACTGGCTGTTTGTTAAATTTAAATCATGTCTGTTCAATTAGTTTAGTGTAAAGCAACAGTTAAAGACATTATGTGTAGGAGCTGATAGTCATACTGTGTGATGTTGGGGGAGGTTATTATGTGTCTTTGTGCGTCTCATTGTGTGTTCTTTGGTCTTTGTGTGTGTGTTTATCTGTAGAAAGCCCCGTGCTGAAGTGGCTGTGCTTCATGTGGTGCGGCTCTGCTTCATTAGTCCTGCTGACTTTACCCAAACTCATCGTAGACAACAGTGCTTCTTTAGACACCAAGGTTGGTAGATTGTGTATTGTATATATGTGAATCTGTGTGTGTGTGCAGGTGTTGTGTTGACCCGCCTTAATATGTCTTCCAGAGTACCTCTAAATCAGTGGAAATCACTGGCTATGTGTGTGGATACCTGGCATCTGTGTTCTACCTCAGCTCCCGGTTACCCCAGCTCTATAAAAACGTAAGTGGCAATTTGTCGGTGTGATATTTGAGTTGTGGACTTTGCATTGCAACCATGATAGAAGATCTCAGGGGACACTCAACTTATTATATAACAGTTAGAGTTTGTGTATCACTTTATGTGTGTCAAAATAAGAACCAGACGCTGAAGACAATGGTGCTGTTGTGCTGCGGGAACATCCTGGCACGACTGCAGATATTAATCACCGGAGGGGATCGTCTCAGTATGCTGAGAACAAATCCTGCACACGCACGCACGCACGCACACACACACACTCTTTACCTGAATATTTTGAATCAATAAGGTTGCATTACCCTGTGGAAACTCCTACATGCTTTTTCAGCAGAAGTCCCAAAAGATGTGACAAGTTGCTCATCAGGTTATCTGTTATTATTTATGATTACCTTCAGCAGCACTTGTGCAGACACTTTGCCTAGACCTGCACATGTAATACGTGGCACTCACTTTTCAGTGATTTACACTTGTGGGGACAGACTGAACTCAGAGTATAAAACTCCATTATTCAGTCAAGGTTAAAAAGTTTCTCCTGTTTCACAATACTGAATGGATGCTTTCAGACACTGACTGACACACATCCTGCTGCTGTTTGTGCTGAAAAACACACCATTAAAGAGGCTCTGTTCTGCTTTTGGGACTTTTTCCCTTTCCTCTAGTGTGTTATTTAGGTTTTTGTGCATGTTAATGGTCTGCAAAGGCTAAAATCCCTGTGTTCCCTCCAGAGGGAGTTTCTCTCTCACACACTCCTCCACTGCCTGAAACACCTTCATTTGACTCCTTTGTTTACTTCCTGAACATAGTGACATCACTATTTAACACCCATGCTTCTATTGGCTAGCGCTCCAACACATTGAAATTGATAGGCTAAGGGTTGGCAGGGTTTAACTTTTTGTCAATGGCAAACAAAATATAAAATAGCTGTGTATGTCTCTGACTGATGGTTTTAAATTAGGTGCATTAGGAGATGAAGCTCCACTGTTGAAGTAAATAAGAGATACCCACTTTAAAGATGTATAATACTGACAAATGCAGTGATAAAACTGGTTATAATCTATATTTCTGCTGCTCTTAATACTAAAAACCGTTGTTCTTCTAGTTTCAGCGACAGTCCACGGAGGGCACCTCTTACATGTTGTTCGCTCTTGCCATGATGGGCAACGGGACGTACGGGCTGAGCGTCATCGTGGTGCTGCCCGCGCTGAAGGGCTCCAAGCAGACCTTCATCATCAAACACCTGGCCTGGCTCATCGGCAGCCTGGGGGTCATCGTACTGGACTTCTTTGTATCCTTTAAAGAACAAGTGTAATGTGCACGTGAAGACTTGAAAATAGGTTAAATTGATTCAAGTTTAGAGTGGAAAAATAGATATATAACATTTAAAACAACAGAATAAAATAAAGATATTTATAATGATATATTCCTTAGAAGTTAAATTTAAGAATGTTCAATAAAAAAAATATAATAAATAAAGATATTTATAGAAACATAGTTAAAGTAAAGTTTCAAGCCAAAATATTTAAATATAAGAAGTTAAAATGTGCATACACCTATATAATAAAATATAAATATTTATGTATACACAAGTACTTCAAGTAAAATGTCTTATCACAACAGAGAAATAATACAAATATGTGTTACTTAATACGTTTAAGTAAGAATGTACAATAACAATAACAATATATATGTATAGAAATAAAGTCTAATGTCCAGTGAAACAGTGTGAAGCTGTGAAAATATTTATACAAACAAAAGAATCTAAGGTACAATTGTGCAATGAAAAGGTAATACATTTTTTGAAATATCTAAAAGTAAGAAGTTAAAGGTCTCCTATCATGCAAAATGCACTTTTTTATGTCTTTTATACATCAATATGTGTCCCCGGTGTGTCGGGGAACTCACACAGCATCAGAAAATAAAACCCTCTCTCTTTTCCTCCGTACCCAAATCTCTAAAAACGGGGCTACAACGGAGCTGATCCAGATTTGCGTCCGATATGACGTAATATCGGAAATGTAGGCTGGCTTTACACCCACGGCCCAATCAGAAACGTTGCTATCAGAAACAATGCCCGACTGTTTTGGACGTAATATGGTCTGTGCATGTTTACATTAGCATCGCTAACACTCAGAGCTAACCTGTACTGGAGAGAGCATGTGTGTGAAGAAGCAGGAAATAAAAAGGAACTCACCTTGTGGTATAACCGGCAAGAGAGAAAGCCTTTGAGCTCCATACTGTTTCAGAAACAATCCTTGATAATCCATGATATGGCGTTTCATCACCACAGTATTTAGTTTAGACAGTAGCTGCCGGGTGAGCTCAGCCCCCTCCTTTTTTTTTTTTTTTAAAGCTTTATACCCAAATCAGCACTTTTGAAACAGGAAGTGAAATAGAGGGATATGAGGCATAGAATGGGTGATCTGTTTGGTATTTTGAGCAAAACACTTCATAGACATGTTTTTTATATATTTGTATATATCTGAGACCTATGCCATTGCCTAAAAATAGCATGATAGGTGCACTTTAAAGTAAAATGTCCAATACAAAAATAATACAAGTATTTATATGAACATAAGAAGTAAAGATGTACCCATTGTACCACATCATGTTGGTGTTTGCTCCTTAACTTCAGTCAGGTGACCGCCCAGTTCGTGATGTACAGGAAGAACAGCTCAGCAAAGGGCAGCAAGCTGCTCAGCGTGCCGGAGGTGGAGCCTCTGCTGTGTGAAGAGGTGGAGCTGTCGCTGTTATAGGACCCAGAATCAAACATGGACTGCCCAATGTACAGTTTCTGATTCATCCGTGATTCTCTGGGGCTATTGACAACTTCAACTGCAGCCATGTTGAAGTACCAGCAGGATCATTACTTTTTAGAAGGGCAAACTTGATAAACCCCATATATGGAAATATCAGGTGGAAACATTTTTCTCAAGTTAAATTAATTGGCACATTTGTTTGGTTTTCTCTAGGCAGGCCAGTAAGCATCAATTCAATACCTTTTGTTACAGTTATCCACTCGGATTACTTGATTGATTTTTGGGTGGGGGTGGGGGACAATATTTGTATTGGCCACTGGGGACACCTATACCCCTTTCACACCAACGCAACTCCGGTTCAAGCTCCGTGCTAGAGCTTTTCAGGTTCAGAACCGGTACTTCGGTTTAGCTCCGGCTCTTTTCACACCGCTCAGAGCCCGACTGGTGCTGCCGCTGCTGCGTCATGACGTCACAGTTTACGTCGCTGATTTTCTCCCCAACTGAGCTCACCTCACAACAACAACGGGCCGGGGACTGCGTTGCTTTTAATCATACGAAGCCAGATTAAATTAAATAACGACTTCTCCAACCTTATACTTTTCTCCAGAGTGCCGTGGTTCATTGTTTATTAATGTGTTTCAGCGGCATTTACCGACCGCTGCAGTGCTGCTGCTCTTCCACGAGTGTATTCTCCCGTTAGCTCCGGGTTAGCTCACACGGCTCTAAAGTATTCACTGTCTGACTGTCACACAAGCAGCTGATACATATCCCCAGTTCCCCTTAAGTGAATGTGTGTCAGTCTGAATTGACGCTGTTTGGTGTCAGTCTGAATTGACGCTGTTTGGCATCACAACGCTGTTATGAAAGTTTCTCTGGTATAACATGGGTGATGTTAGCATAGCAACCGAAGCTAAACTGACTACTTGCTAAGCCGTTTTCTACAGGCACTTTTTACCGACGTATTTTTCATTATGATTCTACTTGTGATAGTCGGACATGACAACCTGTGCAGCCCATGTATTGATTCCATCCGATAGCTGCTATAATAACAAACAAAACGTCTGCCTGCTCTCCACAATGACCAATAACAGCGAACGGATGGTCAAAGTAAGGTACAAATAAACAGAATCACACGAAGCCTGGTTAGTGTTGCCTGACTTTATAAAGTGTGTTTTTTTTTTAACAAGTGTGTGGTTGCGTTCTAGTCACTTTGCTCAGCACTACTGCTTGTTACAACTTTTATTTGCCGTACTCGCCTTAACTGTTAGCTCAGGTTAATCTCGCCCCCCTCCAACGTAAGCGTGACGTATGCGGTTCTTGCTTCTAGACGGACAACTTTTTGGTGCTCGAAACGAACCGGATTCCGGAGCTTAGAGGCTGCTCCGCTGCGGTGTGAACAGGAAAACCCGGTGCTTTTCAAGCACCAGCACCGAACCGGCCCCGAAACACCGTTGGTGTGAATGGGGTACTAGAGAAGGGGGGCTTAATGCCAGACCTCTCCTCACAAATGCAAGCTTTATGGACGAAGTGCCTGATATTTATATACACATGTTTGACAGGGTTGCTTAAATACTGCTGTGTCATATTGCAATATCATATGAGAAGACGTAGTAATGCGATTTTCCATTTGGTATTTGAGTGCCATAAAGTTCATATTGTGTGAGCACAGAAGAAGAAATCTTTCCATCTTTGTTGTTCATTTCAGAATGTGGTCTAAGCTCCCTTACTTGTATGGATAATTGTGTGCCTCTTTAAGTTAACACAATCTTGTTTTATAGAGACTGTCAAAAAGTATTTCTTTTTAAATTAAGTTGCATGTCTTGACAGTATTTTTGTTAAAAGAGGCCCTATTGTGCTTATATGTAGGTTTTTGTGCATAATGGTCGGCTAAGGCTAAAATCCCAAAGTTCCGGAAGATAGTGACATCACTTTGGAACACTTGCGCTTCTATTGGCTAGCGCTCCAACACATTGTAGGTGGCTAAGGGGCGGGACATCTCTAAGTGGTTGACCAATCACAACAGAGACGGCCAGCTAACCAATCACGCACAAAATACAAATATATATATATATACCTGGAAATTAGCATAATAGGGCCCCTTTAATCCTCTCTGTTTTACTTATAAAAGCAGTTTCTCTTTTTACCTTCTTCTCTCTCATTCCTAAAATGTTACGAGCTGCATTATCTGGTGTCCTCTTATGCAACATTTACAATTATGACATACAGAAATAGTCATTTAAGAAGTCATTACTTTCTGATAATTTTTTTCCAAATGTATCTGAGAATAGGGACATTAATGGGATGTCTTAAATACGTAGTCAAAGTAATGAGGCGTATAATTAGTTTGCTCATGAGTTGGTTTTTCTGTTCTGTTTGCAGATGCTCTTTCCAAGTCAATTTGTTTGTTAACACACTTTTTACTTGTTTGGTGTCGTTGCGGTTGAACAAACAAAAACATGAAAACCAAGCAGAACAAAAATGGAACAGAACAAATATCAAAGGATATTGTTTCGATCAGTAGTAAAACTGTGGTGCTGTTTTCTCCAAAATGAAAGTAATATATCTTTCTACCTCATTTAATGTGAACGTAATTTATTCCTCATTAAGATCTTGCTCAAACATATTGTATGATCACATTTGAAATATGCAATTACTTTAAAAGCATTCAAACGACTATTTCTGTAGAAAATCCTAGTTATTAAGTGGTTACTACTTCTTGCTGTTATTTTTATTCTAAGCTAGTCAGTTGATGCAATAAGTGTAATTAAGTTGGGGGATTTTTTACTGTAAATTCATATTTTTTTGGTAAATGTATGCAATTAGAGTATATGTTTTTTCCAATAGATTGAATTTTTGTATTTTTGTATTGCACGATTCAAACCTTGATTATTCCTTAAAATTGATAGGAAACACTTTTCAAAGTAGCACAAACATGTTATGACTGTAGAAACTGTAGTATTTATAAGACTAGGTTTTGTCACACTACTGCTAAGATGTATTTATTTTCTTTAAAGCATAATGTTATTTTCTTTTCATTGTGTACATGGCCAAATATTGCATATTGTAACTGGCAATGTCTTATGTTAACTGTAGTAATACCAATGTATGTATGATAAGAACTATGTACACAACTGCAATATATACTCGGTAAAAAGGTCAAAATACACTATGTGTCTATATGTCTTTATTTTTAAATAAGACTGAAAAGAACAAAACTCACACGTTTATGAGCAAAACAAACTTATTTTCTCTTGTATTTATTTGCATTGCATTTCATATTGACGTCATCCAAAAGTAATTGAATGTAATCAGGTGACATTACTTTTATGTTCTGAAATTCAGATAAGGTTACTGATTACACTTTTGACTAGGTTACTAATTATTGTAATGCCTTACATTGTTACACTAACCCTCCCAACCCTGTTTATGTGCAGATTGTGCAGTTTCTTAGCATGTTATCAGAGGTGGAAGAAGTATTCAGATGCTTTACTTGAATAAAAGTACCAATACATTATTGTCAAAATACTTCATTACATGTAAAACTCCTGCTTTCAAAATCTTAAGTAAAAGAACAAACGTATTATCAGGAAAATACTCTTAAACTTAAAGTTTAAGAGTAAAAGTAATCAAAGTGCAAATGCCTTTATGTGTGTATATAATTATATATTATATGTCTAGATAACATTGTTTCATCAAGTAGCATTTTACTGTTGCAGACAAACAACGTTCTGATTTACTTTATGTCAAAAATATAGATTTTTTTAAGATGCATTTTGGTAATATAGTAGCTGTTTAATAAATGTAGTGCAGTACAATTACATTATTTCCCTTTTTAAATGCTTGAGTACAGCACTTGACTAATTGTACTTAGTTACTTCCCTTGTCTGCATGTAGCAGTATCACAACAGGTCGTTTTAATGGGGCAACTCCAAATGTCCCAACCCCGCACCCTCACATGCCTGTAGCCGTTTTTTGATCGAGGTCTCCGGCGACCAATTGATAAAACCTGCCCCCCGGAGGGCGGGGATAGGGAAATGTGGTATTTCTTCTTTTTTTTTTAGGGGGAGGAGGAGGGACTTCCTTCAGAGTTGTACCAGGATGGCAGGCAGCTGCTCGGCTGACACGTAACTAAAGTTAAAGGTGCTATGGAGGCCTCATCGGGTACTTGAGCTTTTATACTTTTTTCCCATAAGCTGCTTTGAATTGCATCGGGGAAAACAACAACCAAGAGAGGGGAGGAAACTACACACACACACGCCTTTGCAGGAGTGAAGTGAAGCAAATCTGGAGCGGTTACTTTGAAGTCGCTAATGGCTTTTGCATTGCTACAATAATGCATATGTCGGTGGATTTAAGCACTTTTTTTGAGTGCCTGGAAATGGTATAGGAGTGAGAGCTGTTGTTGTTGTTGTTGTTGTTGCAGTCGTCACTTTACAAGTTGAGTAGGGGAAGTTTTTCCAGCAGCAGAGACGGGGTTTTCTCGCTCGGACAGCGGGGAGGGGTCCAACATGGGTAGCGGGGTTTGCTCCCGGAGGCAGCGGAGGATCTTCCAGTGTCTCCTGCTGCTCACCGTGGTCTGCGGGATGATGTACGGGGGCATGATGTCCTACGAGATGCACACGCAGCTCAAGAGGACCGAGGCCACGGCGCTGAAGTACCAGCAGCACCAGGAGTCCCTGTCGGCGCAGCTCCAAGGTAAACAGAGACGGTGATTTTGCATGAGAAATGACACGCCAGACTCCCTTAAGAAAACTGTGATTTTAAGGTTGTAGTGGCGGTTGTGAGTTCATTACACATCTTAAAACAAATGTTATGATTTATAATGATTCAGTAGGAGCTGTAGTTCATTTCGGCTTCATGCAAACACCTCAAAGTATTATTACCAGAGGTGCAAGAAGTATTAAGTATGCATATTAGTTTAGTATGCTATTGCTTGTACACTTAATGTAAATAATATCCTACCTTTTAATTTTGTTAGCTTTAATTTGGCCATTCATAACGTTATTTGACTGTGTACTGATTGTTATCTTTCACTGTCAGTATGTATATATTTTACTTTTAGTACAGTTTTATTTTCTATTTTGACATGTCATTTTCTCAAATTGGGATCAATAAAGTTGATCTTATCTTATCTTAAGTAAAAGTAGAAGCACCAGATTGTAGTAATACTCTGTTACGAGTAAAAGTCCTGCATTCATAATATTACTCAAGTAAAAGTAAAAAAGTATTGGTATCTCAATATAATTAAAGCACCAAAAGTAAAAGTACTCATTATGCAGATTGGCCCATTTCAGAATAATATATATGATATGTTTTGATTATAATTATTGATGCATTAATGTGTTCATCAAAATTGGTAAAGGTGCAGCTAGTTTTAATTACTTTATTTACTGCTGGGAAGCATATGCATTAAATCCAGGTGTAGTTTAAGTGTTGATTTATATTGTTTATCATTAATCCAAATCTGCAAAGTAACTAAAGGTATTAATTAAATGCAGTCGAGTAAAAGTACTCAATTTACCTTTGAATTGTAGTGAAGTAGAAATACAAAGTAACATAAAAAGGAAATACTCAAGTAAAGTAGAAGTCCTTTTTTTGAACATAAGTATAGTACTTGAGTACTTTTTGTATACTGTAAAAGGTTTATTTGTTAAATGTCAAATCAAATGCAAAAATGACACAGTCTGTCTGCCATCTGATCTACTACGCTGTAACTACACCGTAAAGCCAGGCAGAGATTTGTCTTTGACCTTAGGTGGCCTAATCCCGTGATAAAGCAGGTTACATTCTGAGTAGATTGTAACCAGTGACAGACAGGTTCTTTTTAAAGCTGTAGTCGTACAGTAAAACTAGAATAAGACCCCACTCTACCCAGGAGTGGTTTACTGCTGACTGGAGGCTATGACACGCACACGCACACGCACACGCACACACCTGGTTGAAGTCCCTGTGTCCCCAGGCTCACCTCACCTGTATTCAAATGAGTGTACTTTAAAGGCATGAGGTCAACCAACACATCTGTTTGTGTCAGCCACAGCTGGAGGAAAAGAGGGCAGAACTGAGATTTAATACAAAGGCGTGACCATGTCTCGTACAGTAGTGTCTTTATGAAACTATTTAAAGGAGTATTATTATTGTCCGCATATTGAAGACAGTATTGTTAGCAATACATACACTTGTTGTAGCCATATTCTCCTTTTGTGGTGTTTTGCAAATACAGTACTTGAGTCTCGTGTTGACATACATTTATGATGTCAACAAACCAGATTTTGCAGTATTGCTAACTGATCCTAAACATAGTTAAACAGGCCCTATTATGCTTTTAAGGATTTTACCTTTCCTGTAGTGTTATATAAGTTGTAGTGCATGTAAATGGTCTGCAAAGGCAAACATTCCAAAGTTTCTCACCCACACACTCCCCCCACCCTGCCTGAAACACCTCCATTGGACTCCTTTGTTTTCTTCTGGAACATAATGACATCACTATGGAACACTCACGCTTCTATTGGCTAGCGCTCCAACACATTGTACGTGATAGGCTAAGGGGCGGGACATCTCTTGACGGTTGAACAATCACAACAGAGCCGGCCAGCTAACCAATCAGAGCAGACTGGGCTCTGGTTTCAGACAGAGGGTGAAAAGAGGTGCTGCAGCACAGGCAGTATGAGAAAAATAAAGAGCTTTTTGAACATTAAAGCACAGTAGAGGCACATAATACTAATATGAACCTTAAAAAAAGAAAATGTTAGCCTCTTGCTTTACTCTACGTAGGAAAAAACTGTCTTGTCCTGCAGTAACCTCACACATTAACTCCCTCCATATAAACACACTCCTCTGTGCCGACAGGATGTGAGGTTTGTGTCATGCCATTATGCCATGAGGTTAAAATGGACTGTGGGTGGAGAGCTTCATCTATCCAGGGGAAGGATTGTGACCGCATCTGGAGAGTCAAATAGTGTGTCAGGGTTTTGGTCAGACTGTTCATTTCATGCAACCTTTGATCCACCTACACAGCAGTCGTCTCTTCATACCATGCAGTTGCTTTTAGGCTTCTACTTATTATATTTGTAAAAGTCATAGTATACATACACATCCACAAAAGCCTTTGTTGTCATGTGAAGCACTCTGTGACCAATTACAACCCTTAATTTTTACTGATAGCTTTAGTGGTAGTGAGATGTGATGACTTAGCATTTTAGAACTTCCACATTTTTTTCACATGTTTGTGGTTAGATGCCTGAAATAATGTCTGTGGTTAACACCAGCTGGCGAGATTTTCACACTTTGTCCTTCAGCATAAAATACGTCAGTAAATACCCCACCGGTGACTGGCGAAGCTTCTACTGTATGTGTCATAAAGATTCTGCAATATACCGAAATCCAATGGGAAAAATGCATTGAATTGAAATCCCACTTCAATTGAATATTTCCCGAGCTAACAGCAAGTCTACCGTTTACACAAATGGCTCTTATTGCATTTTTTAAAAGCTTCAGAAAAAGCTTATCCATTCAAAAACTTGTGATGAAGTTGCTTCATCATTTGTAGACTTTGGTCACCACAATCTTACTTTCAATGTGAAATGATGGATTATTGGGTCAATCACAAAGCACAAGCCACTTGACATCCACTGCTGACTGTTGTTTGCTTTGTGTTTTGTGTCCTATATTTAGAGGTGGGCCATAGCTGGGGGGCTGTGAGTCAGACGTATTGATTCACTGTAGCCCACTACAACCACAGGCTGCCATTTGTCAGACATTTAAAAAGATCAACTGACACTTTGTGGTTTTACTTGCACTCAAACAAATGTGTGTCCCTTGTGATTTAATACCCCTTCACTCCCCCTTTACTAACACACACACACACACACACACACACACACACACACACACACACACACACACACACACACACACACACACACACACACACACACACACACACACACACACACACACACACACACACACACACACTCTGTCATCATGCAACACATTAATCAAATGCAATAATTGCAGCCTTCTCTACATGAGTGTGGTAATCCTTTTTCTCCAACACTGTTGTCGCCTGCTGTTTATCCTAATGAGTGCTATCAGTCTGCACGATTGAGAGGGAGATAACCTATTGCCATTATTTGGATGGAAATTGCAATTTGCGACATGTTTCACATTATTGGAGGGTTGATAATTTTGCATCATTATCATGGAAAAATATATTACATAATTATAGTGTGATTTTGTAATAAACACATTTGTTAAGTCTGTTGGAAAATCTGTGTATCATGGGATATCTGGTATTGTATCACATATTTTGCATTTAACAAATATTATGCTTCCTTCACTTTAAAAATTGCACTTACCATATTAGATAACATTTCCATTAAATGTGCAGCCCTAGTCTTAACAGATGGAATTGTTTAGTTTTACACGTAAAATACAGTAAATGCTATTATCCCTTGTACTTTCTGTGTTTGTTTAGTTTTTTTTTCTTCATATAAAGATTAACACTAAATCCCTCCTTTTGATTTGAATGTTTGTGACTAAGGCTTTCTTTGAGTTTGGGGTATCGAATGTCTAAATCTCTCTGCCCTGCAACTCTCACTCTCCTCCATTAGTTGGTTGAAAAGGAAGTGAGTTTCTTGCCATGTTCCCACCTGACTGAGCCGTGGAAACTCACACCACACAGCCTTTGTCTTCTGAGTAACCTTTTGTGTGTACAAAAAAAGAGGAAACTCCTAATGTGTGTGTAGTTTTATGCACAAGTATGACTTTACATGGTATACAGTTACCTGTGTGGTAAATGTAGAAAGAAGTATGAGGTAGTAAGAAAGTTGCAGGAATAACCCGGGAGGCGAGGAAGCCACACCATGTGTTCCCTTCCTGTCCCAATAGAGTGGTGCAGCTTTTCTCAAAACTAGCCAGGATCACTCCATCTACAATATCTAAAAAACTGGTTTCCTAACAATCCGTTTACACAAAATCAGTTTCATACAGCTTCTGGAAGCCCTGTAAGGTTTTTGGAAGTGAAGACACCGCCTTTTTTTCTGTCACAAATGACCTTTTTAATGAATGCAGATGTCAGAGATTTGCTCAAATCTTCTTTTGCCAGACTGAAGTGGAGCCTACAGATTTGATACAGTGGAATGTGACATCTTGATAAACAGATTTCTGCAGTAGGATGGTATATCTAATCGAATTCAGCCTCGCAGTGGTTTTATGCATATCTGTCTGATCATAAGATTTTTTTTGAAAGGGGACAGTGTCTGTTCTTTAACCCCAACAACATGTGGAGTGCCCAAGGGTAAAAGTAGGACTAGTGCTGTCAACGCTAAATTGTTATTCAAATGACACCAAGATATACAGTATCTACACATGAAGCACAATCCTGTTTTGTTAAATGTCTAAAATCCACAATGTGTCCACAAATAATTTAGCATTACATCCTAAATAAACCCGAATCCTTTTGACTAAGAAAACCTGCAGACCTGAATACAAGAAAATGATACAAATACATGTTCATATTATCATTGTATAGTTTGGAAAACAATATGTTAAACTTGAAATGATTATCAGACACTTAAATCAGCTGATAGACCTGCTGCCCTTACCAGTTTTCAGTGTTGACAATACACGGTTTTACAAGACTAGGCATTTGCCGCACCATAACGTCACATCATGATACTTTTTCAGAAGTAACATGTGACCTTCAGGTTAAATAACTGTAGAAATGTAATCCAAACAACTTCAAACAGTGGACTGACTGCATGAACCTCTCTGAGCTTAATCAGATGGACGTCCAGACACATGAGCTCAGGGAGGTTTTACTCTGCTGTTGGAGGCGCTGTACCCTCCTAGCAGTGAGAAGCGCCAAAGATGAGAACATGTTGCTCAGGCCACTCAAAACACACACACACACACACACACACACACACACACACACACACACACACACACACACACACACACACCCTCTCTCTCTCAAGGGGACGACATAATGTAGGCAAGCAGGGCAAACATCTACAAAGAGGCTGCATCTAAAAAAAGAAATTTAAATTGAATGTTCATTTGAATTATTAAAACCCACTTATAGTGCCACGAGGTATACTGTAGTCATGAATCCCATTTCATCCAGCAACTCAATGTGCATCAAATAAAAAACTTTATACAGACAAAACAGGACAAGGTCAAGAGAGGGAACTTTTTTTTTTTAAAGTTATGATAAAACTTCTCGTGCAACATGACATCAGAAACTACACCCTCTAAAACGAGTTGAATTAGACGTTCATTAAATGACACATTATGCTAATTTTAAGGTTCATATTAGTATTTAGTTCCTCTACTGTGACATGTCTCCATGCTTTAATGTTCAAAAAGGTCTTTATTTTTCTCATACTGCCTGTGCTGCAGTACCTCTTTTCACCCTCTGTCTGAAACCAGAGCCCAGTCTGCTCTGATTGGTTAGCTGGCCAGCTCTGTTGTGATTGGTCAACCAGTTGGAGATGTCCCGCCCCCTTGCCTATCACATACAATGTGTTGGAGCGCTAGCTAAAAGAAGCACAAGTGTTACAGAGTGATGTCACTTTTTTCCGGAAGTAAACAAAGGAGTCCAATGGAGGCGATTTTAGCCTTTTCTGACCATTTACATGCATCAAATCTCCAAAAGTATGATATGGCCCCTTTAATGAATAGACCAGTATACCTCAAAACAAGCAACAACATTCCCTGGAGCTTCTTTACCCACTTTCCTTATCTCGTTCAAACCTCAACGAGCATGTGAATGAACACTTATTGTCAGAGGGTTTCCCCCTCAGACGAAGCCTTTACCCTAATGTGTGGTTAAAGTGAATCAACAGAGCGAGAACAAGGCAGCTCTCTATGGCGCTGACCTTTACTGGCCCGCTGGTTTATGTGGAGGAGACTGAATTGGTTAGATCTGTCTGAGTTAGTGTGCACTGTGAATTCTATTAACACAGGCAAATTAGACTTTGTTTGAGGAGTCTTTGTGTGTGTGTGTTCACACTCCCTCCCATGTGTACACAAACAAAGGAGCCCAGTTTATTAAGAAGACAAGATTAGTTGTTGTTTCAATAAGGCACACTCTGTTGTATGAATGCTTCACGTAGTCTATTTTTCTGTCTATTTTGCCTATAATGATGCTTGTGGAGTAATGGATTACATGAAAGTAGCCTGCATAAAAAATGAAAGAACAATGTGGGCAGTAAGTCTACCTATAAGAAATTCATTTTGTAATCCTGCTAGTAATCCCCATTATTGCCGAAGTAATCAGATAACGTATTTTTTTGTATCCTGATTTTGTAATCCTGTTACATGTAATCCATTACTCCCCAAGCCTCGAGTAAATGCACTCACTTTGCTTTCCACCACTGGTTTATGTCACCATTAGTCACCACCTTATTACCGAGTCTGTGTCTCATTCTGTCTCTTAAAGTGTGTGTGTGTGTGTGTGTGTGTGTGTGTGTGTGTGTGTGTGTGTGTGTGTGTGTGTGTGTGTGTGTGTGTGTGTGTGTGTGTGTGTGTGTGTGTGTGTGTGTGTGTGTGTGTGTGTGTGTGTGTGTGTGTGGTGTGTGTGTGTGTGTGTGTGTGTGTGTGTGTGTGTGTGTGTGTGTGTGTGTGTGTGTGTGTGTGTGTGTGTGTGTGTGTGTGTGTGTGTGTGTGTGTGTGTGTGTGTCTTTCCCTGACTGTTTCTTTCCCTTCAGTTTCTCCTCATGTGTGTATTATCTTAACCCTATGAGTCCCTGTCTGTGTGAGCCTTCCTCTGTTTCACTCTGGATTTCTTGTATTTAGCTATTTCTTCTCAGTTTTGAAATCCTCATGAAATTATAAAGACGACAACGCGTATGTGCCAATGAATCTGTTGAGTTGCCACATCATCATTTAGACCTCCCACCCTGAGGGAGGGGGGTCTAAGAGAACATGTCAGAAACTGGAAGATTTTTTTTTTTAAGCTGCTTGAGTCAGATGACTGGCCACGACGAAGGATTACTGCCAGAATGGATTGTTTTTTTAAATGTAAATTTAAGTTGGTCCAACTATTGTGTACCTTTCTTAAAGAGGACATATTATGCTCATTTTCAGGTTCATATTTGTATTTTGTGCCTCTACCGGGAGACTGTGGCTCAGTGGGGAGTGTGCTGGACTTGGAATCAGGGGGTAGCAAGTTTGAGTCCAACTGCAGTCAGCATGTCGTTGTGTCCCTGGGCAAGACACTTCACCCCAAATTGCTCCTGTGGGGATTGTCCACAATACTGAATGTATGTAAGTCGCTTTGGATAAAAGCACAGTCACAAATGACATGTAATGTAATATACAAATGTAATGTACTGTGTCAGGCTTACATGCTTTAAAGTTCAAAAAGCTCTGGCCAGCTAACCAATCAGAGCAGACTGGGAAGAGTAAAGACATTTTTTAACATTAAAGCATGGAAACATGTCACAGTAGAGACACTAAAAAACTAATATGAACCCTTAGAAGAGCATAAAATGTCCTCTTTAATCAGGCAGCCCTACTATAATTATCCATTCTCATGATTGTACCACCGTGTTTGTGGCTGACAAAATCCACCAGGCACAGACGCAGCCTGAACCAAACTAGTTTTATCTGTAAATATGTTTTCCACCACCAGCCTTGTGAGGAATACCGCAGCTTCTTGCAGATGTAATGTCCTGTTATCACAGTCTGGTTGAATAAATATCACACCTGGCTCTTATATATACCTCATCCTCTTTTATGTCCACTTCCCTGAAACTGGTGTTTAGGAGTAGAGTGTTTGTGCTGCGTACATATTTGTTTTGTTTAAGTACCTTCCTGCAGGCACAAACAGAGTTCAAACTGCTCATTAAACCTTCTCTCTCCATTTCCCCCTCTTCATCTCTCCCCCCGCTATCTCTGTTTTTTCTTTATGTGCAGTGGTGTACGAGCATCGCTCCAGGTTGGAGAAGTCTCTTCAGAAGGAGAGGTTGGACCACAAAAAGGCCAAAGAAGGTGAGGAAAATCACATCTACGCTCAATTCTGACTTGGCTCACATCTCGATTAAGGTCACATTACATACATTAATGTACCTAAAGATTTATTTGAAAGGAAAACCTGCCTTTCAGTAAACTTATTCAGGCAGTAGCATATACACCAACACTGAAACACATGAGCACATACTACAGTTTACAGAAATTAAATCTGAGCTGACAGAAAATGCTCCGTTTTAGTTTAATACACACAGTTAAGCTCACACACTATTTTAAGAACATATAGGGTGTTTCTCAATGTTGAGGAAAGCTGCTCCAGAGCCACTATTTCAAGGATACTACGTCATCGAGTGCCGCCGAAGGACTGTTCCAATGTCCAGCATACTTGGAATTCTACCGAGGCCGGCGTACTTTGTTGCGGGAAATTTTGAGGCTGCACATGTGTAGACTCCGCGGTCTTAAATTCCCCACAATGCTTTGCGCACGGACCAATTTCCAAAATCTTTGGCGGAAAATGTAAGGCGGGGCCTCTCATATGACGCACACCTGCACACTTGCTAGCCTCTTCCATTCTTCGTTTTCCGAGGCTAGGAGGTATTCTTGCCTCGCTTCTGAAGGAACTCACTCGGAGGTACATGTGCTACCAAGCAAGCCTCCTCGACATTGAGAAACACCCATAGTTTCACCTACTGAATAAAAAAAGTGAGATAAGACGGTCCAGACCATTAAAAGAGTTTGTAAACCGGTAAAAGAAAGGTTTAAATAACAAAAAAAGCAAGCTTTATTAAAATCAAGCTGGTACAAAAAAACATGAGAAACATAACGAAAGAAAACAGCAAAAACAAAATGAAAAACAATACGGGAAGACTTGAGGAACAAGGTCAGCTAAACCAGGAGGGCACACAGGAGAACCAGGAATTAGACAGAGACAGGAAACAAGAACCGCACGGGGAAACATTGACAACAAACTGACCAGAGAACACAGGGGAGAGAGGCATATATACTCACAGGACTAATCACACTGACAAGACACAGCTGGAGCGGGCAGGCAAAACATAAAGGCAGCAGGTGAACACAATCATACAGAGTAGGGATCGACCGATATGGCTTTTTCAAGACCAATACCGATTATTAGTAATCAAGGAGACCGATAACCGATATTTGGAACCGATATACATTTGCAGTAAAATCAGAAAATTTTGGTGTCAAAATGTAGAATAACAGAACTTCTATGAAATGCCTTTTTATGTTTAATGAACTTTTCAACATCTTAAAACTGGTTTCCTCTCTGTGACCCTGAGTAAAGTAAATGAAGTACAAATAAAATAAAAACTACTAAAACTTGTTCTGAACTTCTGATATTTGAGTCTCACTCATTTAGTAGTCCCAATTCAGCAGCACCAGATTGTGGTGCAGAAAGCAGAGTTGCTGCGAGGCTCCACTAGCAGCCGTCCCAGTCGTCCCAGCGCGTCCCAGTTTCTCCGCTGCGAGACGCTGCCCACCCCCCTGTCCCTTTGTAACTGGGAAACTGATAGAATTGGATCATAAGATCGTGGTGTTTTTGCAACTTCGGCATAGGGGATTGGGATGTTTATTGAATTTCGGCTTTCAACTGATTTACCTTCGAAACACCGCTCACTGCTGCTGCTTGCTTCAGTCTGTGTCTGCGTTCTACTGCCTGTAATCTGAGAAGGTCCCGCCTCTCTGGCTGGCTGCAGCCCGGAAAATCTTCAGTGTTGATTGACACTTCAGTAATAGCCTATCAGATAGCGCTGTGGGCGGGACATTGCTTGTGAACAGTGGTGACTGCAGCCAGAGAAACGGCCGCATCAGAGCCAAAGTCGTATCGGCAATTTGATTTAAAAAAAGCTAATAAAGATAATCGGCCAGGCCGATAATCGGTCGACCCCTAATACAGAGACAGGAAGTAAAACACAAAGGTACAAAATACAAATATGAACCTGAACATTTGAATAATAGAGCCCCTTTAAGTATAAATGAAAATAAGTGTTTTGGTTTTTATGGAGACTACAGGACATCATAATGATTTGTATTTGAGTCTGCATCATGGTTTTAATTTAAAACAAGTTATTTATTAAGCATTATTTTCCATAACATTGATGAAAATGTACTAAAAATGGCTGTTTTTTGTCTTTTTAGATTATCTGGTTTATAAACTGGACACACAACAGTCACTGAACAAGGAGAAGGTATTTTTTTACACACAATTACCTCCTGTAATATGAGTATACATGTATATAATCATTAATAACTTACTTTTATATAAATGTCTCTTATCACCTAAATGTCTCTTATCACCTGTCTACTCACATTGCTTTGTTGAATACTGATGCTACTTTCGGCTATACTTCATCTCTTCACCATAATATTTTGTGAGAAAACACAATTATTTTTCATAACTTTTCTTGTTGTTTTTATGCTCTTACAGCAAGACCTCAACGGCAGATTCAATTCTCTACATGTCCAACATCAGATGCTAAAGGTATACATTATTATTACCCCTCATACACAAACACATTATAACACTTTCATTTACTCGTTTTTCTTTCTTCCTGTCACCTTTTGTATGAACACCATGTCTGACCTTGTCAAACCACATCCTTCCTCTCAATATCTATTTCATTAGTACAGAGTTTAAAAGCTAGTTGTTTGCTTCTTATCTTTGTGATAAGCTAAGCTAACAAGCTGCTGGTTGGTAGTCGTAAATTATGAGTAAAAATAATAATGACTTACTTAATATATGGCTGACTTTACTGAATTGAAACAATGATATGCATTGTGACCTTTTATTTCTGTTATTTTAAGTAGTTTTTAGCATGTGCAAAACAAGCATTTCATGATGAAAATCACTGAAAATATGGATACACAAAAAATATAGCTCATTCCCTCTCTGTCAGAACCAGCATGACGACCTGAGGAAGCAGTATTACGGTCTTCAGGAGCAGCACCAGGTTGAGGGCGACGACCACAACCGGCTGCTGGACGAACACAAAGAGCACTACGAGAAACTGAACCAGGCTAAAGAAGGAGAAATCACCCACCTCAAAGGTACGGACGGACGGTCACTCAGAGACGTTACGTTAGAGATAATGTGCAGAGAGGCGGTCAATAATGAAAAAAGAATACCGACATTACTTAAAATGACCGCAGCACTGATGGAGGTTTTCTGTAACTGTCCAAGTCTGTTCACATTTTATTTTATTTTAACCAGTCTTTAAACACAGCAAGAGCCCATACTGTGGTCCTGTCCTCTGTAATGTCCAGATTGACCAATCAGAATCGAGTATTCATCTACGCCATGTATTAAACACGTCTACTGAAATACATATTGGGACAAACAGAGTGTAACTTTCTGTAGTGTTGACCTCATTTAACACTCTTTGTCTCCATCTTGTGACCTAATACAACACTGCAGTAGTGCTTTATGTGCAGACTTTCAGATGAACACTATGTGATACATTTTGTTTTAACAGTATGTAGTTAAAACTGTCCTCTGATTTGAGCCTTATAGTTGGACATTTAAAAAGTCCTAATTGATATAAGATATTTTCTCTGAGCAGGAATATGAACTGGCAAGTGACAAAATAGAGAAAATAATCACCAGGGATTTGCATTATTTTTGTAAATGTTTTGATGAATATTGGGAAACGTTTTAAATAATGATCATGTTTATGAAGCAATATAATGAAAGATATAAGCACTTTAAACGTTGTGTGACTCATAGGGTTCAGAATGTTGTTCATTTAGAAATACTGACATTTTAGACAATTTAAAATAATTGTTTCTCTTAACTAACAAAGGCCATTTATATGACATTACATTGTACAGTTTATAATGTATTATGACTGCCTTTACCTTGGGAATTGTATTACTTCCCTTGAAGTAGCCAATGACCACTAAGAGCTACTTAAATGTGCATAATAATGCATAATAACAAATATTATTATTTATTATTAAATACAATTCCATTGTTGAGGTATACTAAAATACATTTATATTGTGCAATTTTCCAAACTCACATTGGTTTCTCATACAGCATCTCTGTATAGTATGTGTATTCACTCTCCGGAACCCAGCCTGAACACACACACACACCCGCAGCCTGGCTGGGAGTTTGTGTGTGTGCCCAGGCTGAGTTCCGCGGTGTCTCGCTGTCTCGCTGTCTCGCCAACCCCACACCAGTGAGCCAGCTCACACTGTCTGCTCCTCGCAGCAGCGAGCCTCGCAACGTCCCGCCGAGTGTGTGTGTGTGAGGAAGTCCACAGATTGGTCCAAACGTAACGGCTCCGCGGACGTTACGTTACGTCACTATACCCGAAATACGTCACTATACCCAAGAAGTAAACATTGGAAAAAGAGAAATCTCCAACGAGGCGTTCTGGGGCAGCATACACAGGTCTTTTCTGTGTTAGAGTTTTACTCGCTACAGGGTGTACTTTGAGGGTTTTTGACTCAGCAGACCGTTTACATGCATAAGAAGCTACATAACACACAAGGGGACGGGTAATAACCGGAAAAGCATGACATGGGACCTTTAAAACATTATAACAGTTCACAAGTATGGGATCTATAATGTACCATGTCAGTGAGTAATCTTTTAGTATAAATATACTTACTATACTTATTATTTAGTTATAAAATGCTTTACAATGTGTATACATATTGTTTTAAAGCATTATGAGGATTAACAAGTACTTATAATGATACAGTGCTACAGTATAAGCAGATTATATAGCATTATAATTACATATCCGAAAATGCTTCAGAATATTGATTTCCTTCATGTTTCCTGTTTGTGTTGTCAGATAATGTTTATAACCTGAGAGAAGAAAACAAACACCTGAGGAAAGCACACCACGACATTCACACACAGCTGCAGGATGCTCAGGTGAGACTAATCCTGTTTGGCTGTGAAATGTCAGCCTTTCTTAAAAGGGACATATTATGCAAAATCCACTTCTTCATGTCTCTTCTACATCAACATGTGTCCCCTCTGTGTAAAGAGGTTCTGAAAGTTTCAGGAAAAGAGATTCTCTCTCTTTTTGTCCTGATCCATTTATATAAAAACCTGTCTGAAAATGAGCTGATCAGATTTTGGCCACTTTATGATGTCATAACGATGTGTTGGCTTGTGTAACCATTAGCCAATCACCAACCAAGGTAACCCCCCCCCACCTTATCACCTGAATCTCCTCCTAGAGCACCATTGTGTTCTTTTTAACCAAATCTCTCTCAGAGGGGCGTGGGGAGGGGCTCCTTATTTTCATCTAAAGTAACAGACAGAGAATCAGCACTTTTGAAACAGGGCTGAAACAGAGGGGATTATGGGATGCTGCAATGATCTGTTAAACACTGCAGAGACATGTTTTGTATATATCTGAGAATTATAATATATTGATGAAAAACAGTATAATAGGGGACCTTTAAAGATAATTGTTTATGTGTGTGCAGGTTGTGCATGAGAACCTGAAGGCATCACACACACAGCTCGCACTGACACTGGATGACCACAAGAGTGCGCTGGCTTCAGCTCAGGTAGGACGAGTCTCATGTTTACTCCTCTCACTGAATAATAATGATAATAATAACAACAGCTGATTGATGCATAACGAGTCTGTTCTTACACAGCAGTGATGCAAATGTATTTGCTGGTGAAATCAAAGGTTTTGGAAAGATTTTGACAAACAGAGGATTTTTATTTCACATGAGAAAAGGTTTGTGTGATTTTCCTGAGCTACAGAGACAAGGGCGATCTTAATCAAGATCAGAATTAGAAAACTTTATTTATCCTGGGAAAAATTGGATTCTGTGACAGTTGAATTATATAAAATGTAAACAAAATAAAATATTTTTATAGTTATAAGAAAATAAAATTGCAATGAAAAGATCAAATACAAATAAAATACCATATAGATATAATTATTATTGAAGTAAAACATTTCAATTAAATAAAAAAATCATACAAAACATAAGAAATACAAATGTCAATACAAAATAAATTAAAAATATAGAAATATAAATAATAATCATTTCTATTTTTAAATAATACAAATATAAATAAAATGTGGAAAATATAAATTCAAATACGTATGTAAACATAACAAGTGAGAATGTGCAAACAAATGATAAAATAGGATATATTAATATAAGAAATAAGAGAATAATCTTAAATAAATGATCAAATACAATTTAAAAAGGATATAATCTAAAAGTTAAATACAGTGCATCCGGAAAGTATTCATACCCCTTCACTTTTTCCACATTTTGTTATGTTACAGCCTTATTTCAAAATTGATTAAATTCATTTGTTTTCTCAACATTCGAGACACAATACCCCATAATGACAAAGTGAAAACGTTTTAAAATAATTTTTGCAAATGAATAAAAAAAGAAAACTCAAATATCACATGTACATAAGTATTCACACCCTTTACTCAATACGTAGTTGAAGCACCTTTGGCAGCAATTACAGCCTCAAGTCTTCTTGAGTATGATGCTACACGCTTAGCACACCTATCTTTGGGCTGTTTCTCCCATTCTTCTTTGCAGATCGTCTCAAGCTCCATCAGTTTGGATGGGGAGCGTCGGTGCACAGCCATTTTCAGATCTCTCCAGAGATATTCAATCCGGTTCAAGTCTGGGCTCTGGCTGGGCCACTCAAGGACATTCACAGACTTGTCCCGAAGCCACTCCTTTGTTATCGTGGCTGTGTGCTCAGGGTCGTTGTCCTGTTGAAACCTTCGCCCCAGTCTGAGGTCCAGAGCGCTCTGGAGCAGGTATTCATCAAGGATCTCTCTGTACATTGCTGCATTCATCTTTCCCTTGATCCTGACTAGTCTCCCAGTTCCTGCCGCTGAAAAACCTCCCCACAGCATGATGCTGCCACCACCATGCTTCACTGTAGTGATGGTATTGGCCAGGTCTGGTTTCCTCCAGACATGATGCTTGGCATTCAGGCCAAAGAGATCCATTTTGGTTTCATCAAACCAGACCATTTGGTTTCTCATGGTCTGAGAGTCCTCTAGGAGGTGCTCCATGGGGGCTTTCATGTGCCTTTTACTGAGGAGTGGCTTCCTTCTGGCCACTCTACCAAAAAGGCCTGATTGGTGGAGTGCTGCAGAGATGGTTGTCCTTCTGGAAGGTTCTCCCATCTCCACAGAGGAACACTGGAGCTCTGTCAGAGTGACCATCGGGTTCTTGGTCACCTCTCTGACTAAGGTCCTTCTCCCCCGATGTTCAGTTTGGTTTGGGCGGCCAGCTTTAGGAAGAGCCCTGGTGGTTTCAAACATCTTCCATTCGCAAATAATGGAGACTGCTGTGCTCGTTGGGACCTTCAATGCTGCAGACATTTTTCTGTACCCTTCCCCAGATCTGTGCCTTGATACAATCCTGTCTCTGAGGTCTACAGACAATTCCTTGGACCTCATGACTTGGTTTGTGCTCTGATGTGCTGTCAACTGTGGGACCTCATATAGACATCCTTTCCAAGTCATGTCCAATCAATTTAGTTTACCACAGGTGGACTCCAATCAAGTTACAGAAACATTTCAAGGATGATCAGTGGAAACGGGATGCACTTGAGCTCAATTTTCAGTGTCAAAGCAAAGGGTGTGAATACTTATGTACATGTGATATTTCATTTGATTATTTTAACATGTTTGAAAAAAATTATTTAAAGACGTTTTCACTTTGTTATTAATGGGGTATTATGTGTGGAATATTGAGAAACAAAAGGAATTTAATCCATTTTTAAATAAGGCTGTAACATAACAAAATGTGAAAAAAGTTAAGGGGTGTGAATACTTTCCGGATGCACTGTATTTAAAAGATCTAGTAGAAAAATGAGCAACAGGCAGCATGCACACTTCTGGTCTAAAAGCAGGCGAGTCTCTGTCACTGCAGAACAGTTTGTCAATAATAACCTCATTAAATTCCTCTCAGCATCACCTCACCCTTTACTTTAACCTTCTCAATAAAACAGAACAAAATGTACATTGCAGCAGACTGTATGGTAGGGAGGAAAAATATATGTTGTTGGGTTATTATATCAGATGTCTGCTGTTTCTCCCTGAGACTGACCTCCGAATGGTTTATTGAATATACTCACTCTCTGCTCTCTGCTCTCTGCTCTCTGCTCTCTGCTCTCTGCTCTCTGCTCTCTGCTCTCGGTCTGCTGCAATTTTCAAATGTATTTTGAAGCCTGTCCTGCTTTCCATCAGTGCTTCTGGTCAAATGGGGTGGGTGCACACACACACACACACACACACACACACACACACACACACACACACACACACACACACACACACACACACACACACACACACACACACACACACACACACACACACACACACACACACACACACACACACACACACACACACACACACACACACACACAGGGTTTGGTTTAGTCCCGGCTGTCAGCCATTCAGGCAGAAAGATATATTGGACGGAGTAGAGCGAGATAAGGAGAGGAGGGGGGAATTTAGCAAGATTTGTTTTATCATTTCACCCTCAGGCCCCGGTGTATACAGTACAGCATGATGTCCTTTAATGATTTGAACTGGATACTCAATTTGAAATGTAATGTCTGTACTTGTGTGACAGTTGTCTATACTTATCATAAAAGGTATTAAAATGAAAACATTGTCACATTTATAGGATACTATATGTGTATCTGCCTTTAGGGCTTGGATTGAATGTACAACACTTCTCTTTTGGATTAGTGTCTTTTCTCTTTTAAAGGGTCCCAAGTTCACAAGTTTTTTTTCTTAATATAGAAAAATCCCACAGCATAACAGCATTTTCCCTTTCTGCCCACCTGTGTGTTTTGTTCTCTTCAGTCGCAGGTGAATGAATATCATCAGATGAGGGAGACCCTGAACAAAGCGGCAAGTGTGAGACAGCCTGAGGTAAACCCCGCCCCCCCCGCAGCCTCAAGCAGCCGCCGTGGCACCTGAACCCCACATTCAAGCAGCCCAGCAGGACTCGGTGCTGCAGCAGCCCCACAAAGAGGAGCCCGCACAGGGGGAGGAGCACCAGGACGCTGAGGCCAAGGTAGGGTGGGAGTCTTCAGGATCACTGTGTTAGATTAGATATAGCAGTGATTTTATAAAGAGGCGTACTACTGTAGTTATAAACAGAGATGGCAAAAGTACACACATCCTCGTGTTTAAAAATACTCTGGTAAGAGTAGAAGTACTGACTAAACTTCTTTACTCAAGTAACAGTAAAGAGGGCTTTGAAATGTACTTAAGTAAAAAGTACCCATAACTACCATCTGTTTTAAAGAGTACCTGACCTCCCTTTATATTAATAGAACAATAATGTCATTGTTAGCTAATGAATGTTTCCATGCTGAACAACGGCAACATGACAACGTTTTCATTGGTCCCTCTTCTTTAGAGAAGACCAGGAAATGATGGATACACGGATCGTGTTCAAATCAATAGGCACGCAATGACTCTAAATAATAATGATCACGCCACAAAACACACATTCAAACTAAAGGAACCAGCCTGTTTGGAAAATGTAAGAAGTAGAAAGTACAGGTATTTGTGTTCAAAATGTAAGAAGTAGAAAGTACAGCTATTTGTGTTAAAAATGTAAGAAGTCAAAGTAAAAAGTCGACAGAAAAATAAGTAGTGGAGTAAAGTACTGATACCAGAAAAATGTACTTAAAGGTGGGGTAGTTAAGTTTGAGAAACCGGCTCGAGATACATTTTTTGTTATATTCCATGGAATGCTCTTAACATCCCGATAGCAATGAATATCTTAAGTGCTTTGACAAAAGATCCATAGAAAAATGTCATCTGTGGAAGCCGTAGTACTGTAAAAAGCACGACCAATCATCTGAGCCGGCCCGGCTAAAATAACTGGATGGCCTACCTGCCTGTCAGCCTTCCATCTGTGCACAAACTTATCTCGTGCCCTCATTGGTCATGTGTGCGTTCGTGTGTGTTGGAGGAGGGGCTCTGTAAGGAAGTGGCAGATTTTTTCCGGCTGTGTATTTTCAAATTCTAGCGTACTCGAGCTGGTTTCTCCAAAATGACCTACCCCACCTTTAAGCACAGTAACGAAGTATTTGTACTCCACTACTTCCCACCTCTGGTTATAAACACACACATCTGACGCTTCCTCCTGTTGCTCTGTCCTCAGTTAACTCACAGCCCCTTGTCACAGAAGGAGGAGGACAGGGAGGGGGAGGCGGAGAGGAAGAGGGAGCTGGCGGAGGAGGAGATGGCTCAGGCCGGACAGCCTCAGAAGCTGGAGGAGGATCCCGACCAACCGCAGGAGGAGCAGCAGGAGGAAGAGGAGGAGCAGCCGGACGAGAACGCCCTGCAGCGAGACAGACGGCAGCCGGTCAGTTTAACATCAACTATACCATATCTATATGTACACCATATGTCTCAAATTACCAGCAACTCTATGTGTAATGAGGTCCAATGTCCTATATTCCAGGTTGCCATTATTACACAGGTGCGGGGTGAGAGTGATCTTTACGCAGATAAAAACAGATGAATTTTTACGGTCGTTGGTTTGGTATTTTTTGAAGAGTTTGTACAAAACCAAGGTTGATAAGTGAGTTGTAGTAGCTGTGAGCATCTAACAGCTGGTTGGATTAGTTTGCTCTCGTTCTTCCTGTCCCTTTCCGCGTCACCTATGAACGTATTTATACATCCTGTGCTGCTAATCCCCGCCACCAAGTGTTCAAAAATAATATTGCAGTATACATTTAAACTAAATAAACTGACATGCTAACAATAAACATAAATGGTTCCTACACTATGTGTCTGATTTGCTATTTTTTTATCTGTCTTCTCACAGAGTCCCCAGGCGGAGCTGCATCAGGAGGCCCACGCCCAGGTGGAGCGCGTGAAGTCGGCCTACGAGCAGCAGCAGGAGCAGCAGCGCCTGGAGGCTCAGCGGGCCAAGGAGCGCAGGCAGATCCAGCTGCGTCAGGGGGCCCTGCAGCTTCAGAGGGACAAGGTGCTGCAGGACAGGGAGCAGAGGCTGAAGCAGGAGCAGGAGAGAGAGCAGCTGCACCACAAGGAGGCCGACCGGAGGGAGCAGCTGCTGAGGGACGAGCAACACAGGTCAGAGGTCACAGCAGAGCAGGAGTCTATTCCATATTTTATTCCATTCCATTTCTATATAAATACTCTAATATGTTATATTTTTTAAATTATTTTAAATATTTTTCTAGTTCTCTATCTGTCTTTTTTTTTTTGCTTTACTTTTATGTATGCACCGTGACATCAAGTCAAATTCCCCGTACGTGTCAACCTACCTGGTGATAAACCTGATTCTGATTCTGATTCTGAAGAGTGGAGCACTGATGACGGATATTTGACCTCAGGAAGTTAGATTCATGAGATCCATTGGATTCTGGAATATTGCAGAATAGAAACTCTGTGTCAAACACACGTTTCAGGATAATATCCACATATTAACACCACTTTATAATTGTTTAAAGCGTAAATCAATTGAATGCAAGTAAAAAGCGTTAGCCTGTAAAGGAACTACATCACGGTCACATGGCTGCACATCATTAATCGGCAGGATAATCTTCACATAATAACAGCACTGTAAATGCAATCGCCAGAAGTAAAAAGCTAACATCCGGCTAAAGGAACTACATCACGGTCACATGGCTGCGCATCAAAGCCGCTAAGCTAAATGCGGCTAATGTTAAGCCTGATGACATTTAGTAGTTTATCAAGTCACTTTTTTATGACACCTAGAAGCTTCGGAGATTCACCAGTGGGGAATTTACTGATGTATTTCATGTCGTAGAACAAAACGGGAAAATCTCTTCTCTCTGTTTTGATGTAGGAAGAGGAACGAGTACGAGAATATGGACAATGATATCGTTCAAGGAGAAGACGTGCAGCACACTGATGATGAAGAAGGTGAGAGAGGAAGATTACCATTATAAAAAAACTTGTATATACTGAGTTTGTCAGTGCAATAGAGAATACAATATTTATATGTTATCACTGTATAAGCCGGAGGGCTGCATCTGCCAACTGCATTGAAGATTAGTTGATGAGTTGTTTGGTCTATAAAATGTAAGAAATAGTGAAAAAAGTCCAAGCTGATTACGTTTCCTGTTGTTTTGTTTTCTTAAACTCAAAGCTATTCATTCCAACATGGTGTTAAATTGAGGGAAAGCTGAACATCTCAATATTTGAGAGGATAAAAACTGCATTTTCTGCCATTTGTGCATCAAACTTCATTATTGGGAATAATCGACTATTGAAACAGTGTCGATTAATTTCCTGTCAACTGACTTATCCATTAGTCCATTTCATGATTTGTCTGTAATCAGAAGAGTTCTCAGTAGCAGCTGGTTTAGTGTGTGTGTGTGTGTGTGTGTGTGTGTGTGTGTGTGTGTGTGTGTGTGTGTGTGTGTGTGTGTGTGTGTGTGTGTGTGTGTGTGTGTGTGTGTGTGTGTGTGTGTGTGTGTGTGTGTGTGTGTGTGTGTGTGTGTGTGTGTGTGTGTGGTGTGTGTGTGTGTGTGTGTGTGTGTGTGTGTGTGTGTGTGTGTGTGTGTGTGTGTGTGTGTGTGTGTGTGTGTGTGTGTGTGTGTGTGTGTGTGTGTGTGTGTGTGTGTGTGTGTGTGTGTGTGTGTGTGTTTTTTATAACAGACACTACGATGTTACATGAGGAGGAGGAGGAGGAGAATCAGGAAGTGGATCACGACGTGCCTCCACATCAGGTGACTGTCTTTCCATCCCGCTCTTCGTCATCTCTCAACACACGTTTCCTCTTCATCATCTGTCCTTTCTACCCCTCCACTGTTAACATTCACACCAGGGTATCGCATGTCATATGTCCATTCAGCCGTCCATCCATTCTCCCCTAATATCCTCCCCTCATCCATCTTCCACTCATCTGTCAACAGTCCTCTGTTCAAGCTTCTGAATACCAGCCAGGCAATTAAAGAGGACATATTGTACTCATGTTCAGGGTCATATTAGTATTTTGTGCCTCTACTGTGATTCCAAATAGAAAAAAAGACCAGCAAAAACAGTAAATATATACCAATATCAAAAGTAGAACAAAATACCTAAAGAGGACATCAAAATTAGAATACTCTATAATATAAATATCTACTAAGAAAACGTCAATGCTTTTCCCCTGTTTTCAGCACACCTAGAGAACCAGTGCATTGTGGGTAGTTATGCTGGAGGTAGTGATGGTTCTTACTGATGTCCAGTGGTCTCCAGTCAGTGTAACACATGTCTCTTGTGCTGATTCCTCTGCTTTCTTGTTCTTTTCACTACCATGTGATTCACGATGCATGACACTGCACAATGTGGGGGGCATTTATCATTTGCACTGTGCAGGATTCCTTCAACCTGTGGATGAAGTAATGAAGTCATGTCATTGTTTTTAAACGTTGGATATCCTTTTATTGCGTACCTGGTTTCAGACGTTAACCACAAGACAGGTTTTCCTCTTCGAATCTAACTGGGCATCAGAGAAACTTCAGTTGTTTCAACCAGGCTGGATTAACAAGAGCCCCTTTGGGTCAAATGTGTTAATGTGATTAATCTGCGTTCTGCTGCAGGGTGCTGGTGATCTGCCCTCCGAGGACGACCCCAACAATCAGGGAGAAGACGAGTTCGAGGAGGCCGACGAAAATCAGGAGCCGCAGCAGCACAAGGTCGCAGGAGAGGAGGAGGAGGAGGTGGTGGTGGATGAGGAGGAAGAGGAGGAGGCGCCAGCCAATCACAAGCCTGACACACGACCGGGCCCCGGACCACCTGCTGTGGAGGAGGAGCTGGTGGTGAGTTAGGGACCAAACAGAAACTATAACAGATCTACTTGCATTTTTCCGACACTATTTATGATTTTTTTTTCTCCAATCTTAAAGGTGGGGTAGGTAATTTACTTCAGAAACACTTTTTGTTATATTCCATGGAATGCTCTTAACATCCCGATAGCAATGAATATATTAAATGCTTTGACAATAACTACATTAAAACATGTCATCTGTGGAAGCCGTGGCGCCGTAAAAAGCACGACCAATCATCTGAGCCGGCCCGGCTAAAATAACTGGATGGCCTACCTGCCTGTCAGCCTTCCATCTCGTGCACAAACTTATCTCGTGCCCTCATTGGTCATGTGCGCGTTCGTGTGTGTTGGAGGAGGGGCTCTGTAAGGAAGTCTGAAGGAAGGGGCAGATTTTTTTCAGCTGTGTACTTTCAAATTCTAGCGCACTCGAGCTGGTTTCTCCATTCTTACCTACCCTACCTTTAAGTGTATCTTTTTATATCTGAAGTATATTGTGTGCTGCACTTTCGGAGACTGGGACTATTCTGTAGCTACTTTGCATATGACAAAAAAAAAACGTTAAAACTTGAATCAAATACACAGGTTTCCCGGTCGAGTGCTGATATTGGTTACGATTAGAGTTTGGGAGGGAGACAGTGAGAGTTTAGGAACTTGAGAGGAAGTCACCACAGGATCTAGAAAATATAAGATCTTTATGTCGTGTTTTAACTTGTGTGTGTTCAGATCGCTGGAAACCCAGATCAACAGGAAGACACGCTTGACGACCAGTACCAGGAGGAAGTAGAGGACGAGGTGTGTATCTCTCATGCTCATTTTAACAACTTGAGTGAAGTTTAGGGATGCTAGTGTGGTGAAAATGTCCTTGTTTGTTCGACACTCTTTTTTCTGTTCTCACGGTCACAGCCTTTCTCCATGGAGATAATTACTCACCGTACACTTCCATTACGTGGGAGCAATGGCCCCTAAAAATGTGACATTTCTGAATTAAAATGATCTACCAGCTCATTAACTGAGATGTTAGAGAGGGCATGTGTGGAAGATAAATTCTGAATAAATATTGTGCTTGTGTTTTCAGTGATATACCTTGTTGTGATTACCTCTTTTTGAACATAATACAATAATACTACATATACAAGGGGGCAAAAACGGCATGCAGGACCCGACTTGCCATTGCAAAACAACACACATTGTTTATTTCTTATTAACTTATTCCTTGAATCATTTTCTTCTCTTGTTGTTGGTGTCCTGAAGGTTCAGGAGGACATAGCTGTAGGTCAGAAGAGAGAGGAGGAGGAGGAGGTGGAGGAGGAAGGAGAGGAACCGTATAATGAGGACAACTTAGAACAGGTGGGGTCTTCTTCTTTCTTTTTCCTCAATTCACTGTGTTTAACCCTTTTAATCTGAACCGGGAATGGCTCAAAGATTATTGAACATTTACTTTCACAGTGATGCTGTGTGTGTGTGTGTGTGTGTGTGTGTGTGTGTGTGTGTGTGTGTGTGTGTGTGTGTGTGTGTGTGATGTGTGTGTGTGTGTGTGTGTGTGTGTGTGTGTGTGTGTGTGTGTGTGTGTGTGTGTGTGTGTGTGTGTGTGTGTGTGTGGTGTGTGTGTGTGTGTGTGTGTGTGTGTGTGTGTGTGTGTGTGTGTGTGTGTGTGTGTGTGTGTGTGTGTGTGTGTGTGTGTGTGTGTGTGTGTGTGTGTGTGTGTGTGTGTGTGTGTGTTGTGTGTGTGTGTGTGTGTGTGTGTGTGTGTGTGTGTGTGTGTGTGTGTGTGTGTGTGTGTGTGTGTGTGTGTGTGTGTGTGTGTGTGTGTGTGTGTGTGTGTGACTTGAGCCTTGTCGCTGCCCGTCCTGGTAAATGAAGGAGATCAGGTGTAGAGTCTGTCCGGGTGTCGGGTCACCACCTTCATTTTCAACTTGTAGGAAGAGGAAATATGTCCGAATGAGAACACACACGTTGTTAAATGGATATGGTTCTCTAGGCTGGTCTTGATATTTCTTTCATATTTAATTTTTAGAATAATGTATTAATGTGCACTGTCCCTTTTTTAAAGAAATTATTGACTCTTAAAAAATAGGAACAATCTCTAGGATCTGTACTTCACGTCGATCCTCCACCTCTCAGCCACAGAGTGAACGCACTAATGTTTCTGTGTAATCTGAGCTCAGTGGAGCTCTCTCTTCATTCAGCTTCATTCATCCGCCGCTGCAGGCAGAGGTGTTTCAGTTCAGCCTCCGCACAATACACTGCTTCACTTTATATACAACAGAGTTAAAGTCCGGTGAGTTACAATCCTTTGGACCGGAGGCTTTGACAGGAAAAACGATTTGAAGGGAGGCTCAGTGAATGGAAGCAAAACATTTTTTAAGACTAGTTATTAAATTAAATGAAATTCAACTCCCAACTTTTTAATTTGGATATTAATGGAATTGTATTTATTCTTAATTCATTATATTATTCTATGTTTTATTGTTTTATTATTCTTTTATTCAAATTGTATTTTATTCTTGTTTTATTTATATTTTAATCTTATTTAAGTCTTATTTTTAATGTATTTTAATTGTATTCCTATTTATTCAAACATTTTTGTTACTTTTAATAAATATAGTTTGTTCTTATTCAGTCCAGTTGTTTTCTTAAGTGTTCGAAGAGGGGTATTCAGGTATTAGTATAGTTTAATTTAGTAGTTTAATTTACATTTGTGTTCTCTGTTTATGTTTTTGGATTGTAATAATAATAATAATAATGGGTTCCATTTATAAAGCACTTCATATTCAAATTCAAATCCCGAAGTGCTACAAGCAGTGAGCATGAACAGTATAAATAGACATGACACAACACGGTAGAATTAATAAAAAGCAATACAAATAAATAAATAAAAATAAAAGGGTGGTAAAAAGGTCTAGGCAAAGGCTCTTTTGAAGAGATGGGTTTTGAGGCCTTTTTTAAAAGCCTCCACGGTCTGTAAAGCACATTGTGTTGCCTTTTGTATAAATAAAGTTTGATTTGTAATTTCTTTCAGGATGAAGTAAAACATCAGGAGGGACCGAGACAGGAGGGCGGTCACAGGAAAGAGGCGGAACATAACGAGGAAGAGAACTACGAAGAGGAAGAGGACGACGTGGACGAGGACGGTCGGGACAAGGGAACCAATCGGAGGGCAGAGATGTGACGCAGACTTTAAACCAGTTGCAGTGCCTTTTTTTCCGGGTCTTTCTTTCTCTCGTTTCCCAAAGGAATACAAACACAGCCATCCGTTCGGAATTCCAATAAGGAAAATGTGGCTGTTGCGCCTGGAAGATGGGATGTTACTCCAAACACTGGGGGTGGAACTGAGCAGCTAACACTGTGGAAATGGACAGGCTTTGTGGAGCAGAACTGGGATGTATACTTTATATATATTTTTTATTCATTTGCTTTTCTGTCTACGCCTGATCGCCTGCCTGGTTTTCGAGGCAGAGAATGTATTTCCGTCATGTCCTGTCTTTGAATATTTGTAAAGAAAACAAAGATAAATTATGTTACCTGCATTTTATTTAGGTATGTTTTTATGAAAACAATCTTTGTAGATCTCACATTTGTATTTACAACTCACATTCCAATCGCTGTTATTTATTTTTGATCGCAACAACTCCGACAATCAGAAAAAAAGGGTGCAACATTTCTTTTTTATTTTCCTGACTGAACACTTTGTGTCATAAAGTACGGTGGCCGACAAGGGCCAACACGCTAGAACATCCCAAAACACTTCCATTAGGAGAAATGCGCTGAAGTTTGAGAAACGATGCGAAAAAACAAAACACATGCAAGTGACCAAACATCTTCACCGACTTGACGACACATGCGCAGTGTTTACTAAAAGCGCTGCAAGAAGCTCAAAACACAACGGAAACCAGGGGACACTAAAAAGTGATGCACACAGCTCGGACCGGAGCGCTTGGTGAAGTTCAGGGATTGTCAAATTGGCCAACTGTCACTGTTGTTGGAAAGTTACCTAAAATGTTTTATTGATGTTTTATTTGAACAATGTGATCGGATGATTCCTTCTGATATTATTGCAGAACTGCTGTAAGCTAGCTAGCTAATGTAGCTAACCTAGTCATTTCAAATATACTGACAAAAGTATATTAACTTACAATTAAGAAACAGACTAACTCTGCTAATTGGACAACTTTATAATCCCCAAATGTCAACAAGCTCTCCAGTCCCAGCTGTGTGCATCACTTTTTAGTGTCACAGTTTCCATTGAGCTTCCTACATTGTTTTGTTTATGCAGTGCTTTTTGTAAAAGCTGGACATAATAATTCCTTATATTTATTATAGCGCTTTTTCCATGCCCCAAAGCGCTTTACAGATACACATTACACATACATATCAGACATACATGTAATGGTCATGTACTGTGGACAATACCCACAGGAGCAAATTCAGGTGAAGTGTCTTGCCCAACGACACAACGGCTTTACAGACGCAGCGGCGGCGGGTTTCGCCCCCTTGCACAGACCACTGCGCCACACCGCCCATCTTCACACCTCAAAGTCATCGAGGCGCTTTACAAGTACACATTAATATCATACATGTACTGTGGACAATACCCACAGGAGCACATTCGGGTGAAGTGTCTTGCCCAAGGACACAACGGCCTGACGCAGTGGCGGTTTCGAACTGGAGTTCCCCAAACGCCCCCTTGATCTGATGACCAAACGCACAGCCCACTGCGCCACTCCGCCCCAATGTGTTTTCACATGTTTGGCACATTTGCCTTTTTTTATTTGCATCGTTTCTGAAGCTGCATCGCGTTCCCCCTAATGTACGTTTTTTGGGCGGTTGTAGGGCGTTTGCACCTTTCGGCTTTTACCAACGATATCAACGAAGCGAGATAACAGGAGTTTTTTTCACTGGATATTTCTGCAAAACGCCAGCCAAAAATACATTTCTTATGTGCTGAAAGAGTCACACTGACATGTGCCTTTTATTCTTGGAAACCTCAACTAGATCTTTTAATCATTTCACTATAGGAAAATCATTTCAACAGGATAGGAGAGATGAGAGATACGCAATTGATTTACTGCCAACTCTTTTAGTCTGCTGTACAATGTATAAGGAAACAAATGCTGAACATTTTTACATTATATTTGATACAAAAAAGTGTGATTTTGATTGTGTTGAACCATGTCTGCCACCTGAATGTGTGAAATAAAGAGGTCAAATGATTTTAAAAGTCATTGAGATTGTGTTGTGTGATCTGAATCAGGTTTATTGACAAGTATAGGTTTACTTTTTTCCTTTCCCCGTGCTTCACTGTTGGGAACTGCAAGGTGAGCAGATTGTGTGTGAACTCGCTCACACAGGAAATGAACCGACAAATCAGGATGAAATGAAAATCAAATGATAGTGGGTCGGCTGGGAGAGACAATTACCTCTAATGAACAACATTTGTCCCCGGCACACAGTCTCAATCAAATCATCCCTCCTCCTCTCAGACTCTATTCCTGACACTCACTTCCTGTCAACACCCCTCTCTCCTTTCCCTCCATTCTTTGCTTCTTTGCCCCTGTCATCATCCCTCTGCTGTTGTTGATGTCTCCAGAGGGATGTGGGATGCTGCAGGAGTAACAGGTGTCTCATTACTGAAGGCCGCAGACGCACGTACGCACGCACGCACGCACGCACACACACACACCATGTATACATTACTTCAGGGGACATTGCATTGACTTGCATGCATTTCCTGGAGACTTATCCTAACTTTAACCATAACCAACACATGCCTAATCCTAACCCTTACCCTTACCCTAACCAAGTCTTCACCCTAAAATTAATGATTCCCAATGATTATGGGGACCTCCATTTTGTCCCCATAAGGGAAGCCAGTCCCCACACGTGACTGTGTAAACAGATTTAGGTCCCCACAAGGATAGTAATGCTAGGCCACACACACACACACACACACACACACACACACACACATTTGAAAAGTGAAAAGCAATGGCAGCGAGATGATAACTCCTCCTCACTTTTTGGTCATAATTTCATGGGTAAATTAGCAGGCATGAATCATGTTAAGCCCGGAGTCTATATTGAGACACATGCCCACACGACTGCCACACATTTTTAAATATATTTTAAAATATCCTGTTTAACACCAGCGCAAGATTTACTGGAAAGCTCTGAGCTATGAAAGGAAGTGCTTTTTGATTTTTCACCCATCATTTTTGGGAAGATCAACTCTCTCTCATTTATCTGGCACAGTGGTGGAGACAGTGGGGGCAAGTACATGTACTGAAGTGATGCACTTAAGTACACATTTAAGGTACTTGTACTTCAATTTGTATGTTGTGTCTCTACTGTGACATGTCTCCATGCTTTAATGTTCAGAAAGGTCTTTATTTCTCTCATACTGCCTGTGCTGCAGCACCTCTTTTCACCCTCTGTCTGAAACCAGAACCCAGTCTGCTCTGATTGGTTAGCTGGCCGGCTCTGTTGTGATTGGTCAACCACTTAGAGATGTCCCTTATCACGTACAATGTGTTGGAGTGGAACTTTGGGATTTTAGCCTTTGCAGACCATTGACATACACAAACACCTATATTACACATTACAGGAAAGGGAAACAACTGAAAGCATAATAGGGCCTTGTTAAGGTAAAAAATCTGAGCATTTGTTCCATTACTGTTAGAAATTGGCCCTAAAGATAATCAAAACATTGTGATTCCTTCATTAAAAAAAAATCCTGTGTTGTGTGCTCATTATATTGTCTCTCCGCGGCAGAAATGATCTCTCATTCCTCAGCTGCAGACTTTCCTCTATCTCCAGGCACACACACACACACACACACACACACACACACACACACACACACACACACACACACACACACACACACACACACACACACACACACTTAAATGAGTCCCAATGAGGCGTGAAACTGTCAGTTTGTGCGCGGCTGTCTGCTTGTTAGAGAGATACCGGCTGCTTACATTTCTCTGCATCACTGCGAGGGAAAAGAAACCTAGTGCTCCAGTTCATGGACTGCAGCAAAGTAAATCAGGTGCAGCGACAATAGTTATGTATGAAAGTATGTATTTTCTTTTATCCAAAGCACTTTTCAGAACCACACTTTGAGGGGGATTTACAGTAAAAGTCCTGCCAGTGTGAGTGCTCTGCAAGCGGCCGAGGATTAATCGGGATGTTCTGTGTGTGTGACCAGCTGGGTCATTACCCAGTCACTCAGAGGCCATTATCCTCGAGGGGGTCTGGACACTAAATGTTTGATAAGGCTCTAAAGTGGATGACCTGTTTTTATTTTCATATTTTACGGATTTACACTGAAGACACCAATTAAAATCTAAGGCATCCATGGAGAAATAATAATTACTTTGGGTTCCTCAGGTACACTTTAATCTTGAACATACATGAAATCGCTAATCTTATCTGAGTTACTTTTTCATCTCTAACATTATTTTAATTTTATTTATTTTCTTCTGTATTTTTTTGCTATTTATTAATATATATTATTTTTCACATGATTTTTCGTAATTTATTAATTTGTAAATATATTATAATTTTAATTATTAATATTAATTATGATTATTTCATTTTTGATTTAATTATGATTATATTAACGTGATTTTTCTATCATTTTTGCTATGACTTGTCTTATTCCGTATCATGTAAAGAATTGACAGGAAAATAACAAGCACACTTCTGTATTTTGTTTTTTGCAATGAAGGGATTATGTTGTTGATAACAAGGAAAATATCTTAGAATCCATACAATAGTGGATCTTCGACAATCTCGAAGAAAATAAAGAAAGCTCTCTCGATGTGTTTGGTGCAGTCTGCAGCAGAACGAGTGTGAGTGTTGGCTCAGCAAAGTCCTGAGAGATGAGAGTGAGTGGAGATGAGTCACGCAGCGATCTGATCATCCTTCCTCCACTTCCCCTCCATCAGAGCCAAAGTTCGTCATAACCATTCAATCTTTGATCTGCAGCACATTCAGTTAAAAACAGAGCAGAAATAGAGAGAAACAGCTGCAAGACTTCATGACATGTTGTTTTTATTATCAAAATGTGTGGATAGGATGTATAAAAATATCATTAACAAAGATAAATAATACTATGTATAATTGGTACTGCATATAAAAGGGTTTTGCATGGCCTTGGAGCACGTACACAATACAGTTCTATTGTCGGCTTTGTCAGTGTTTTTCGGCAACTGTAGAGACACAATGTGTGTGTTGAAGAGTTCTTTGCTGAAGCCTGTTCATTGCTGCCAGGGTCATAAAATGTTGCACATCCTGGTGGTTTCTGGGAACTGTAGTCTGGTGGGCAGAGAGTCTTCTGGCAGCTTTGGGATCCCATCGAGGATCTCAAGCTTTGGCAAACAGAGGAAAACACTGCAAAGAGACAAGAAGCAGAATGAACATCCGGACCATGGTGACATCACTATTTAATACTCCCGCTTCTATTGGCTAGAGTTACAACAGGTGATAGGCTAAGGGGCGGGACATCTCTAAGCGGTTGACAAATCACAACAGAGCTCGCCAGCTAACCAATCAGAGCAGACTGGGCTCTGGTTTCAGACAGAGGGTGAAAAGATGTGCTGCAGTACAGGCAGTATGAGAAAAATAAAGAGCTTTTTGAACATTAAAGCATGGAGACATGTCACTGTCAACATGAAACCAAATATGAACCTGAAAATGAGCAACACACACACACACACACACACACACACACACACACACACACACACACACACACACACACACACACACACACACACACACCTTTTTATCGCTTGCTATACGGATTGCATCGATGAATCTCTTTGAAGGTCTTTGAAGACAAAGCCTTCTCTTTAACAACCTTTTACACCATGTCTAACTTTACTGCCCCTGCCCCCTCGTTTTGATCCACCTTCTTCATACGTGTCCACTCACCGTGCACGGTAGTCCTGAGTGAAGGTCACAGGGTTGCGGCTCAGGTTGAGGGAGCGCAGAGGGCCGATCCCCAGAGCCCCCAGACCCCCCAGGGAGCCGATGGCGTTCTCAGACAGAGAGAGGTGCTCCACGGCGGGGAGCTTTGGCAGCTGACGCAAACACAGCAGGTGGTTACGCTGCAGGTTGAGCATTCTGCACCTGCAAGGAGGAAGCACAATGCGGTTATGGTTATTACATTGCTTTATGAACAGACAGGCAGGTACAAGTGGTTTAAAGGTCAAAGATGGGTTCGGGTAACAGTAAAACAGGGAACATGTGTTGCAAAATGGATGAAAGAGAAGGATGAAAGGAATATAAAAAGGTTAGAAAAGAACTATAATTTCACGGGAAGACTAGGGGTAGAGGAATGTGAGAATTTCGTTGGGGATATTTCCAAATATCTGGAACAAACTCCCAGAAACCTGCAGGTCCGCTGCAACTCTCACTACTTTTAAAACCAGGCTGAAGACTTTTCTTTTTGCCGCTGCGTTTAATTGAACTATTCATATCTTAAACTGCACTGTAACTATTAATGTTTTATTATCGTTGCTTTTTAATGTTTCTAATGTGTTTTATGCTCTTAAAGGTGGGGTAGGTAATTCACTTCAGAAACACTTTTTGTTATATTCCATGGAATGCTCTTAACATCCCGATAGCAATGAATACATTAAATGCTTTGACAATAAATACATAAAAAAAATGTCATCTGTGGAAGCCGTGGCGCTGTAAAAAGCACGACCAATCATCTGAGCCGGCCCGGCTAAAATAACTGGATGGCCTACCTGCCTGTCAGCCTTCCATCTCGTGCACTAACTTATCTCGTGCCCTCATTGGTCATGTGCACGTTTGTGTGTGTTGGAGGAGGGGCTCTGTAAGGAAGAGGCAGATTTTTTCCGCACTCGAGCTGGTTTCTCCATTCTTACCTACCCTACCTTTCATGTCTTTCATTTTTGTAAAACACTTTGAATTGCCTTGTGTTGGAAAGTGCTATATAAATAAACTTGCCTTGCCTCACTTAATTGGCACAATATCAGAAACACCACATGAAGAAATATATGTTATTAAATTATTAAACTGAAAGTCAGCCATAGTGTATATATTGAAAGAGTCTTCCAATCACTACATTTACGGGAAATGGGAAACTGCACAAATACAAAAATGACAACTTAGTTATGTCAAGTGGCAAAGACAGAAGAACATGGAGACTACCTACATGTTACAGATATATGTCCTTGTCCAAAATAAACAGCTTTCCAATCAGACTACAGCAGTTATATTGAGAGGCGCTAAACTGGTGCACTTTGGGTAGTGTAGTTTCTACCTTGGCAGACGTACAGAACTCAGGTTGGTGAGGGAGTTGTCAACCAGTTGTAGATTCTCCACACGGATCAACCGGCGGAGGATCCGGAGGAAATTCTCTTTTTGGAACGGGTCACCCAAATTCTGGTAGGACAGATTTAACTCCTGAGGGGAGAGACAGGTAGAGAACGTTTTCATCTGCCTCTGTCACAACTCTAGCAAGCGCCAAACATTCATTCATTGCTCTTATAATTTAAATTATATATTACCATTTCACCTCCAATAGTATATAACGCCACATTTTCACTCATTCTATTTGACTGATTAACAGATTGTTATGTCTTTCAACAGATTCTGCAAACATATGATATTTGGTATCAGATGCTTCCTGGTATCTGTTTCTGATTATCTAGTAAACGGCCTTCTTGTAAAACAATCCGGTTGTAGACGTTGTCTCTCATCACATATCCAATATTGGATCTCAAGTTGCTAATCGGGCATTAAACTACTGACCAGCGAAATGAAAAGGAAGTCCAGGCCTGGACATGTGTTCGCTACATCTGAACAAAGAAGCATTGTTACCTGCACCAAGAGGAGACTGATAGCCAATGGGTTACTAGAGAGTTGAAATGTAGAGTAAGTATGTTTTCATTGATAACATTTGTTTTGTTTTTCCCAGTGTTTGTCTTAATCCTTGGTAAAAAATAACTTTTATCTTACTGTCCATCTTTGTGGCATGCCCTTGTATTACAACTTGTTGTGTTTAGAAGTCATTTCAGTCTCCTTTTCTCCCTCCCTCTATCCTGTTGCTCTTCACCTGCTTGCATTATGTTTAACATTGTACGCACGCACGCACGCACGCACGCACGCACGCACGCACGCACGCACGCACGCACGCACGCACGCACGCACGCACGCACGCACGCACGCACGCACGCACGCACGCACGCACGCACGCATGCGCACACTCACACACACACACACACACACACACACACACACACACACACACACACACACACACACACACACACACACACACACACACACACACACACACACACACAGCTTCCTGACTTACCAGACAGTTCTCCCAGTTCTCTTGCAGTCTATCCTCCCATCGTTGTCCTTCCTCCTCTCTCCTCCTTCTCCTCCCTCTCTCCAAACAGAGGTCATCCCCCTCTCTTTGGAACAGCTCCTCATCTGATGGCCCTTTAATGATGACATAGTAGTAAAATAGATAAGTCATGTCAACAATGTTTACATGATTATTCTGGTCTGTGGCTTCCAATGAATGGCTGAAGAATTCCTGTTTTCTTTTACACTTGCAAAAACTAAATATAATTGTACAAGTTAATTCTCTCAAACATAGAAACCATATTGCAGAACTGCATGAGTTAGAAAACTGTAATCTCTTATTGTTATTTTATTACATTATTATCCTGTCTCTTTGAATCCAAAGTTACTGCAGAAAAAAGAGCAAACTTCCAGAGGATATTCTGGACTATCAAAGTGCAAAGGTAGGGGTTTTCTCAGCGTGATCCAGACCTTCTCTGACCCTGGGGCAGGTCAGCTGGTCGCCCGTTACATCACACTGCTCCAGGCGATGCCAAGACACGAAGCGGAAACGACTCGAGGGAAGCTGAAAAAGAAGAAGAAGAGAGCAGGGTGAGTTTTGTGGTCACTCACAGGGAAAATGAGTGGCAACAGGATGTTCAGTTTTCAAATAATAGTCATTTCCCGTTATAAATAAGAAAGCAAAACGTACCCAGGCAAATACAGAACAATATCGTATGTGCTCTTTCAAGATAAGAGAAATAATGATACGTGACATTTTTTGTATGTATGGTGATGGCAGGTCACAGGTGGAGATGTGTGGTATAGAAAAGTGTAACCATGGTTCCTAACTGTCTTTAAAAAGGGGCCCCATTATGCTTTATGGGGTGTTCCTTTTCCTGTAGTGTTGGATAGGTTTTAGTGCATGTAAATGGTCTGCAAAAGCTAAAATCCCTGTGTTCTCTCCATAGGGAGTTTCTCTCCCACACTCCCCCCCCCACCCCCCCCCTGCCTGAAACGCCTCCATTGGACTCCTTTGTTTACTTCCGGAACATAATGACATCACTATGTAACACTCACACTTCTGTTGGCTAGCGCTCCAACACATTGTACGTGCTAATGGGAAGGACATCTCTAAGCAGTTGACCAATCACAAAAGAGCCGGCCAGCTAACCAATCAGAGCAGACTGGGCTCTGGTTCCAGACAGAGGGTGAAAAGAGGTGCTGCAGCACAGGCAGTATGAGAAAAATAAAGAGCTTTTTGAACATTAAAGCATGGAGACATGTCCCAGTAGAGACACTAAATACAAATATGAACCTTTGTATAATATGTATTTTTAAAGTTAATGAATGCAATGAGTTCAACTATAGTCATCAAAGGCTGTATAATATGATGCACAACTCAGCATAAACAAAGCCCTCTACCGTTCAGTGTAATGCCGAAGACACCAGTGATTGGGAGTAGAGGACACACACTAAAGCTTAATCTACCGCAGCTTCCATTAGGGCCGGCTTAAACTCTCTTCCCTCAGCGTGCAGTTAGTGTGAAGCTTAAATCAATGGGTTATTTCTTAGACCATTAACCAATACTGCTTTACGTGTTAACAAGGTGAAGTTTTTACTCAAACTCCTGCAGGTTTGCTGATGCTTGACAAGAAGTAATAATGTTTTATCATCTGATGATGGCAGCCTCCTACTTCTTACACCCCTTATCTTTCATATCTTTACACACCAGTACAGATCTTTCTGCCAATGCAGTATTTCAGGTATCACATCACACTGTAGACGATCAAATAGCAAATCCAAGTGAGATTTTATTTAAATTAATTGAGCAAGTGAATCTACTCTTTGCTTGTCCTAAAACATTTAATTGTCTTTATTCTAGTGACTCTCACCTCCAAATGGTGACGTTTTACTTCAGTGGGATGCAGGAACTCTTACATGACCTTTTCAACCCCCAATACACTCATCTCATTCGACCTTACTTTGTCTGTAACTTTACACCTTCCTCTGTTACTCTAGACCACATGTGTCAAACTCAAGGCCCGGGGGCCAAATCAGGCCCGTGGTGGATTTAATTTCGGCCCGCAGGATAATTTGTAATTACTATTAGATCTGGCCCTCCGGTATATTGCACGCACACCTTCACTCAATCCTGAGGGTCTCCTCCGCTCAGAGCCTGACCCCAAACATTGATGACCTTGCACCCAAGATGAGATGCCAGGTATCTGGCTTGAACTAGCATCACAGAGCAGCAACCTGAGTTTCAATGGATGTTTCCTTCTGGACTTTTTTACTTGCAACAACAGGGCATGTTTGGTTTGTTCTTTGAGGGAAATAGTTTTTTTGAAGCTGTTGTTGGCCTGTGGAAAAATGTAATCATAAGAAATGACTCCGGAAAAGCTGCAGATAGAGCCATAAGAAATGAATGCAACTGATTATTTAAAGTTTAATAGGCAACCATTTAAGCTTTGTTAGTTCCAGGTTTAATAGTGCAATAAGTTAATTTCAATAAGTTTTGCAATAAACATTGAACCAGTCCGGCCATCGACTAGTACCGATTTTTTTATGTTGGCCCACTGTGTATTTGAGTTTGACACCCCTGACCCGCTACTCATTGACTCACAAACAGCCCCAGGTCACCAGCTCACTTTTGACTAGCATAAGTATAAAAGACTGAAAGGAATAAAAACCAAACTTGGCAGAATGACGTACACCAATACAATTGTTGGATAGGTGGTTGGGGAATTAAATGTACATATAATATCATGATGAGCTTGATTAGTAGAACATGTGGATTCAGGATTTCTAGTTAATTTGTTGATTGGAATTCTTTCAGACGAGATACTATATGGTAAAGTGTTCAGGTGCAAGGCAAAAACTGTCAACTGATAATGAGACCACCTTAATTTGTTATCATTGCACCTGATGACAAGAAAACATTAAAGCCTTTTTGGTGGTACCGATGCCCCAGATTATAGCTTGAGGGAGCCTCAGAACCAACGCCCAATTAAATAAAAATGTAAAAACATTGAAAGTTGAACGGCCCCCCTCACACTTCTACGTGAGTCGGGGTTACAGGCGGGTAACCTTAAGCTCATCAGAGAGAAACCAATCCTTCCACTTGGCATGAGTGATTTGAGTGGTCAGAGCTAAAGAGTAGGGGGAGCGGCAAACCATCGTAAATGAAACAGAAACTCGCCGAGTGCTACGATACTTCCCAAAAGGGTCTATGACAAACAGTTCATGACTTATGAAAGGGGTGTTGTAACAGTGTAGGGGGCGGGGTAAACATTGGCCTCCAGATGTTTTCATGGCTGGACCAACATCATCCACATGTAATTGGTGAATTAAACCAACGTCTGATAGAGTTAACATTTTTTTAATCTTTTGTATAATGGCCAAAATGGCAGCCTAGCCACAGCAAAGTCTTTTCATGAAAACTCACGATTTTGATTAATGTTCAGGCTCAAGGTCTTGTGATCGTCCTGACCAAATTTGAAGTCAAACAGACGAGTTATGCAGGAAGATTCATGAATTTAAATATTTACAAAATGGAGCGTGCAGGCACTATTTTACTGAGAGTCAAGGATACATTCCTTCTCAAATAACTGATGCATGTATTAGAGCTGTTTCTTTTTCATAAATCCTCAATGTTTTTAAGTTTTAAGTTACGTGATTTTGAGTTGACTAAGTCAATGTGTTTGACTTATGTGTAATTAAAGAAATTAAAATGTAGACTAACAAATTTTGAGTCATGTCAAATTAAAAGTGTATGTTTGTGTACTTAATCCATTGCTGTACAGTAACTGAACATATTTGAGTTGACTTAATAATAAATATTGAGTTCAATTAACCCAAAAAAAAAAAAAAAAAGACTGAGTACTTATTTGTGTAAGTTCTGTTAACTTAATCCATTGGTAGAGGTGAATTCAAATGTTTAAGTCACAGTTAAGTTTAAGTTACCTGAATACATTTGAGTTGACTTAATAAGCCATTTTAATTTTACTGTAATCAATAGGTACATGTAGCATTTAATCCACATATTTGAGTTCTTGAAAAATGTAAGTTTTGAGTTAATTAACTTAAAATACTTAAGGCAATCAGTTGCCCTAATTTTTTTTGAGTTAAGTTGACTTATTGGGGCTTACAGTGTAGGTTTCAGAATCAATCTCAACTACAAAAGTTAAAACAGCAAAAAAGTCTCAGGGGGGCTAAAGTCCAGAGTTTCTTTCTGACAATATCGGCTGACAAGAAGCTTGCATATAATGGAGAAAGAATCCGATCAGCAGTTCTCTGCCTCTTTTGAACCCTCTAGAAAAGGCGTTGTCACACTCTGATTGGTCGAGAGGGGAAATGCCCCAAGCTGCTCTCACTTCTTAATTAACAGCCAGTCCAAACACCCTGTGCAACAGGTGATCTGAATCACCTGCAATCAACTCAGGGGAATTGTGACATTCAGCTCACATGGAATTGGAAACAAGCAAAATGACAACAAGTATTAAGGAGTGGGGGACTGTCGCACATTATGTACACAAGCAATACAAATATCCCAAGTACAATGTTCAACCTTTTTCTACTGTGCAATACAAATCTGTAAAAATGCTATTTTTCTTCATGATTTGAAGCAACACACTTTACATTTATACCATAATTAGTTTTTTGAACTTGTCTATAAGCCTTAAATAAAGTCTGTGGTTAACAAAAGCTGAACAATGTTTAACGCTTTGCTCTGCGACATAAAAAACGTCTGGTAAATGGCTGAAGCTTGTATGTTTCATAAAAAGGGCGGTTGTTAACAACTGTCTAAATGAGACTTCGAAACTTAAATTACATTAAAAAATAAAAACATTAACATGCTATTAAATGTAACACAAATGTTTAAAAAAGCACATAGAGTATATTCAGCTCCACATGGGAGGGTTAGGTGTAGATGCCAGCTTTCATCTCTCTTCATTCAAATAGTCAAGAGGGTAAAAAATCAATCTAGGTAAGAGGCCAGTGCCCTGAGGGGTAACATGGAGAGAGCTTGGAACAGACAGAGAATATTAGGATCAGTTCAGAGAGGGAGGAAGAGGAGAGGGAGGAAGAGGAGAGGGGTAAAGAGGAGAGGGAGAAAGAGGAGAGGGAGAAAGAGGAGAGGGAGGAAGAGGAGAGGGAGGAAGGCTGGAATGGAAAGATTAGGAGATGAGAGAAGGAGGTGGAAGAGGAAGGTGTAAAAAGATGGAAGAAGCAAAGCTAAAGAACGTGTAGCAAAAAAGCCTTTAGGAGAGCCCCAATGGATAACTGGCTTAATGTGTGTGTGTGTGTGTGTGTGTGTGTGTGTGTGTGTGTGTGTGTGTGTGTGTGTTTAGGTAATTATCTCTATTTGGGGATGTCCTTCTGTTTACCCACTCACGACATGGGGAGCTCTGCCGCTTTACGGACAACTAATCAGGTCCCAAAAAGGAGTCATTCTTAAAGGGCCTGTGAAGTGTTTTGCTTTGGCCCGTGTGTGTGTGTGTGTGTGTGTGTGTGTGTGTGTGTGTGTGTGTGTGTGTGTGTGTGTGTGTGTGTGTGTGCCACTTACAGGTGTAGCTACAAGTCCAGAATCGGGACTCTGGTCCACAGAGAGAGGTGTTCGTGTAACCCGGAGGTCGGAGCACTGGGAGGAGTGGGATTTGGGAAAACTGCCAGTGAGCGTGTTCACACCTGAAGAACTGAGACAGAAACATAAAGACGGGGTCACTCGGGACATTTTCACATCTTTTGGCAGCTGTCTTGTCGTAATGTAAGCCCTGCAGTGCGCTGAAACCCTGACCACCGGCCGAGTGGGTAGAGTTACGGAGAACTGGGCCTGACAATGCAGATTAGGACCCGTTGCCACGACAGCGGCAGACACCTGAGCAGTTGCTGTTAGCCCATAATAGCACCTGTATGCAGGGGATGGCCGGACCCGGGTGCCTCTTTAATTGGTGCTGCTTGTACAGTAATGAAATGTATTTGACCTCTCTTGGTAATGTATTATTTGCAATGCTAGTATAAGTGACTAGGCCTACTTACGTTTAATAAGTATGTATGTCATTTTAAAAATAAATGAAGGGCTATTAGACCTAGAATTTACTATCTATGTATATCTATAAAGTGACCTTTTGAAGGGGTGTCATTTTGAAGTAAAAATAATAACAAATTTTTCGTAACTTAACTAAATAGCCAAAAATAAACGACTCAATAAATGAACTATCTGCCGTTAACTGTATTAAAAAGGTAATATATGAAAATACATTTAGTCAAAATGTATGGAGAATATTTTTCTAAAATGTTTTCTTTTAAAAGGATTGAATAAATATATGACTGAAAAAATAAATAATTGAATGCCTCATATGATAAATAAATACACAAACACAAATACATCAATAAATACATAAATAAATAATTAAATAAAGGGAAAATGAAAGAAATAGGAAAGTAAACAAAAAGGCGAAAACATGTTAACAAAGTACATCTAAATAAAACTAACAATATATGTCACATTATATTAATTAAATAATGCCTACACTTAAGAACAGGTTAACGTATTCATCGAGTCATTTATTCATTGATTTCCTTCCTCCTATCTCTGGTCCCTTCAACCTGATGTAAAGTAATTAAACTGGCAAACGACCCACACTATCAGTGAACATGATATACCTGTAGTCTTACCTTTCTGACATGTCCCAATCTTCTGGAGGTGAATTCTCCCGGGCTTCTTCAACGCATGGAGAGCGGCTCGCTGTGGCCCGTCAGAGCAGCAGCTGTTTCCCATGGAGCCGCGGTCAGTGTTCACAGAGAGAGAAAGACTGTCCGTCCTTTCTGCTGCCGCTCGCTTCACAGACTGACACCAGAGCGGCAGGTGAGACGGCTGCTGGTTACCTGGCAACAGTGTTCAGTTGTATAACAATATAGGACAAAAAATGAATATTCAACTCGTTAATGACCTGTGAAAGCTCAATTACTTGATAAGAGAGATAACACTTCTTTTAAGAACCAACAAAAGTAAAGTAAATTACATTTGGTAAAAGGTTTTTTTGGTTTTAATTGTGTAGTAATCTGGGTATCAGTCACATTTACAGGGACTTAATACAATACCATTTTTAAATTTGGTCCTCTTATTCTTATCATACTAACTTTTTTAAATTTGAATTGTATTTATTCCATTACGTTTTGTAACTTAGATCTGCAAATAAAGTTGTCTAAATGTATGCATCAGTAAACTTCCATACAATGATGAATAAAAAACGGAATAATAAACCAAAATACTTCCTTACTTTACTTCAATATACATTTTCTGTGAATAACAGTACCTGTATGGAGGACTTCAGCCTCCTGGTGGCCATGGCAAGTCTAAACTGACTGTGGAAACTAAGGGATAGTGGGAAGAAATGCTAATCATTACTCAACTAGTCCAGTTTTATTTAATTAAAAGAGGTGCAAAATAATACATTTTAGAGTAGATTGTTGACGCATTAATGCTTCAGCAGACTTAATACACTATATGGTAGTTGTATGCAGGCTTTGGGAAGGATTACATAACAGAATTACGTAATCAGGATACAAACAATAGGTATCTGTATATTAAGGTTACCCTCACAACCCTGCCTGGTCTTTGTGGATATTTTCTGAAGGGTTATTCAGATGTATTAGTAGCAAAGAATGAAGACACAAGCCTTAGCTATCATACCAGCTGCTGAAAGTAATTTGTATCATAACTTCCTCCACCCCACGGGCTGTCGTTTCTCATCATTGTGTCTAAGATATTGCAGCACTAAGACACACTGAAGAATTGTAAAAGCTATTCGATTTTTCAAAGAGGTAAATGAAAACCTCTGGTACTGCAGGGGACTGTGCGAACGATTTCCTCTGACAGTACACTTGTGTTTCATCACAGATATTGCTTTTGCAAGTTATTCAAAGACAGAGTTATTATTTTAGCAGCAGTCAACTACATGTCTGCTTTTGCTGTTTAGCAGTTAAAGGATTCCACTTCATGTGTTCTTGTTTCATCTCGTCTGAAAGCCATCTCATAGATAATTAACGTTCCTAAAACGTCGACTGAAGATAAGGATGTCACATCAAAGCATCTTTTTGTGTTTTTTTTTCGTGTTTATCACAAACTAAAAACACTCATATGATGACGGGGAACATTTGTTAGGGATGCATTTATCACGTTTTATTTTCCTAATCACTTACTATATATTACTGTGCCAGTTTCATTCAGACAGCAATACATGTATTCGTTGTGCACTTATTCTCCAGATTTAAGCTTATAGGCCTGAAGCCTAAAAAAAAAAAATCTAATCTGCCAGTCCAGCTAACGATGATAATAATAATGAAATACACCCTATTCAATTATAACAAAATGCCTTTCTAAACCATCTGTTAAAAGTACAAACTGGAGTTCTGTTCAAACAATGGCCGACATAATAAATACAATTAAAAACACTTCACATTGTCTCGTTCGTACCCTGGGGACAGTAAGCAAACCTGTTTAAGAGAAGAATATTCCTGGAGGGTTTATATGAGGAAAGTAGGTCAGAAAAGTGTGTAATGTGTTCAGCTGTTCAACATGGGGCTGAGGATTAGTGCTTTCTACTGTAGTCCAACCCAATTAAGATATAATGCGTAGTTTACTTTTTTTCTCCAGATATGTATCCTATATTTTAAAGGTGATATATATGAGATGTATTGACCGCCAACAATGATATGGCTGTTAAAATTGAGATCTGCATTTGGGCTTTCCTCGACTTAAGAAATGTTAGCAGACTAAAAGACTAAAAAAGATTTTATCTCTTGATCTACTACATGATCCATTCGCCAGGACAGAATGTTACTTTAATAGAAATATTTAAAATAAATGTACTTTAAGAGAATACCGACTGGATCAACAGAGTCAACATGCAGGTCTCTCTTTTCCTCGGTCACCGTATATCCTTGCCTTGCCTAGCGATATGATTTGTTTCCTTGTGTGTGTGTGCGTGTGTGTGAGTGTGTGTGTGTGTGTGTGTGTGTGTGTGTGTGTGTGTAGTAGCTAGGTGATGCCACAGGCCTGAAACCACTCCAAGATGGCTTGGCAGGACATTGGGAAGCAGGACAGCCAACTTCTGCCCTCAGGTTGGCAGTTTAACAGTAACAGCCAACCTTGGGGCATTATATAAAACCCATTATATTCAGGCAGCATATTTATATATATATATATATATAACAGGATATATAAACCCTGAGCGTTTTGTTTTTCAGTCTCATCTAATCCTTCATTTTAAAGAACCTAAAAGTTGTATCATTAGCTGTTGGCATTCAGTTTAATATTGTCTTTTTGAGATTCATTCGTATTATTATTTCAGTCTTTTTTTTTTAACCCTAACCCTGCCTCTCTATTTCAGTTTAATTTGTTATCCGTACATTGTCTTGTGAATAATTTTTTGAATAAAGACAAAAAAAGAGAAGATAAATAAATAAACAATAAATAAATGTTTCAAATTAAAAACATTTTCAAATAAATAAATGTTTCACACTGTAAATGGCTGCTGTATACAGCTTGCATTCAAAAAAGGACACAGTTTTAAAGTTTTAAATGGGAACAAATTCATGTTTATTGAGTAAAAGACTACAGCTGGTGTTTCTGTTTCTCCCTGTATGTACATCCAGAAAATGGTGCAAGCAGATCTTCTTCAGTGCGCCTGCCTGCATGCTCCGGTCCGTCTCCATAGCAACCCGCCTTAGTTACGCAGCCTCCCCTGCTCACCTGTGAGATGCCCAGCTGGGGCCTGATCAACCACTCAGATGTGATAAGGCATATAAGTTCATTAGCAGTGTGCCCTACCGTGTACAAAATGACTAGAATATTGTCAGTGTATTACTAAGATTCAGTGTATAGGGAATGTGACGTCATCAACGGCAAGTCGGCCATCTTTGGAGGATACCAGAGACCGCAACCTATTGACTTTACCTGTACAGCGAGCGGAGCTATAACTTTTTTACTTTAACCCTCCTGTTGTGTTCGTTTCCCCTCCTTACTTTGGTGTTCGCGGTCAAATTTGACCGGTCCTGTTTTAACTGCTATTACATTAACACAAAAAACATTCATCATCACCAAATTTCATTTAACACCCTTTCAAACTGTAAATATTGTATCAGACTACTGGTATACATGAAAAACTGCAGTAAATATACAAATAATAGACACTGAACATGTATTGCGTGTGCCAGGTGTGATTCACATGGGGGGGATGGGCACACATGGGGGGGGAAAACACATCTAGTGTATGTGTGTGGGTGTTTGTGTGTGTGTGTGTGTGTGGGTGTTTTATCTGATCCGGATGGTTACTAATTCCTTTTCTTTATGGCGGTCATTTTTGACCGGGAGCACCATGGGTGTTACAAAGTTGACTAAATCATCCAAAATTCAATGAAAGTGGTGATCAGCCATTTTATATGTTCAAATGTCTACTGTGAAGGATATCATAAAGCCTTAATGCAATCGAATGTAAAACAAATAAGTTATGATTGATGAAAGTAGTAAATCGGTCAGATTTGACCCGAACACAACAGGAGGGTTAAACGTTTTAAATATGTTCGGTAGGCACTGTTATATCACTGGCTGTGAGCAACTCCTATCACCAACGAACAAAAACAAAAAAAAGACGACGGGATTATTTTTTAAATCATGGAAACGAGCGAGACGTAGCAAACTTCTGCAAGAGACGCTGAGTTGTGTTGGTTGTCAGCCATCTGCTGAACTACAGTAACACAAACCACTACGCTGGGAATAGGATTTCAAACAGGAAATATCGCAGGACACGTACATTTACTGGGAGATTGATTAAGCATGACATGCCGACATTAAGTTAGCACTCAGTTAGCATAACATTAGCTGCCTTACTTCCGTCTGGATTATTTTATTGTTATATAATAATTAACCTGTAGATTTGAAAGTCCTGTGTCCACTCGTTTGTAAACTTGACATGGGCATCCAAATATTTAATATTTAAATATGTGTGAACACTAACTAAATAACGCTCCTCTGTTTCTGCCCAGAGGTTTTCTTTGTAAGGGCATTCATATTTATTCAATTCCGATGGGAAACGCTGATAGATATTGATGGCTGCTGCTATCCTCCAAAGATGGCCGCGGTGCATTCTGGGGCATCGCATTCCCTGTAGGGACAAAATGTCTATTCTGCAATAAATACTGAGTATATATGTTAATATAGAACACAATGTCGAATGTACAGGGATGTAATTAAAGCAGAAACATGTTTGTGCCTGGTGTGTGTGTGTGTGTGTGGGCGCAGGTGAGTTTGAAGCTGCTGAACTTAAAGGGGTTGTGCGTGGATTACGTGTGTTTTCATTTCCTCATATACTGTACAAACCGTTGTGTTACCAGAGAATATGTACATCTTCATTTTTTCTGCTTGTCTGTATACAAGAGTTTTAAAGCTTCCAGTATCAAAACACAGTCACGTTTATATGTCATATGTCATATTTCAATATATAATATATCGTGTTATATTTTTTTTAAAGGAGTATAAAACACAGCTGAAGATGGCGATAGAGGATAGGTAGCGTTTATGACGTCAGGATCTGAGATCTGTTTTACATGGAGTCAAAGTCCTGGTCGTTGGGGTCGACGACCTCGGGGGTCATGACCCTGCCCATGAAGAGGATGGTCCCTGAGGAAGACATATAGAAAGTCAGGTTAAAACACACATTCAGTGAATCAGACGCACGTTTACATGCACAGAGACACACAGAGACACACAGAGACACACAGAGACACACACAGAGACACACGCACACACAGAGACACACAGAGACACACAGAGACACACAGAGACACACAGAGACACACAGAGACACACAGAGACACACGCACACACAGAGACACACAGAGACACACAGAGACACACGCACACACAGAGACACACAGAGACACACAGAGACACACAGAGACACACAGAGACACACGCACACACAGAGACACACAGAGACACACAGAGACACACAGAGACACACGCACACACAGAGACACACAGAGACACACAGAGACACACGCACACACAGAGACACACAGAGACACACAGAGACACACGCACACACAGAGACACACAGAGACCCACAGAGACACACAGAGACACACAGACACACAGAGACACACAGACACACAGAGACACACAGAGACACACAGAGACACACGCACACACAGAGACACACAGAGACACACAGAGACACACAGAGACACACGCACACACAGAGACACACAGAGACACACAGAGACACACAGAGACACACGCACACACAGAGACACACAGAGACACACAGAGACACACGCACACACAGAGACACACAGAGACACACAGAGACCCACAGAGACACACAGAGACACACAGACACACAGAGACACACACACACACAGAGACACACAGAGACACACAGAGACACACGCACACACACACCTGTCCTCCGGTTTCTAATGACGAAGAAGAACGGGTGATCGGCCATGACCTGCGGGTACAGCACCAGAGTCCGGGTGAGGGCGATCATTCCTGAGAGAGAGGGAGGGAAAGGGGGACAAAACACAATCATTATTTATTCATCTATTTATGCATTTATTTATTAATTAATGTATTTATTTGTTCATTTATTTATGTATCTATGAATTATTTTAAGGGTTAATTAATTAAGGTATGTATTTATTCATTCATTTTCTTGTGAGAGAGGGAATTGTTTATTCTTTATTAAATCCAAAATAATATAAACACACAACGAGCAAGAGAACAAAGTAAGTTGAAGCGGAAGGGCAAAAAGCTTATAATACAAATAAATGAATAACAGCATAAAATAAAATACCCACAATATAATAATCTGTTTGCATATATACTGACATGAATAATTATCTATCTATATAATGTCTGTGTGCAACAAGTCCTGAGCGGTAACATACCTGATCCAACGGCTCCTTCTGCTCCCTCCTCCGTCACCTCCAGGTACGCCTTCTGCACCGCCTTCCCAATGTGCAGGTCCTTACCATCTGACACACACACACACACACACACACACACACACACACACACACACACACACACACACACACACACACACACACACACACACACACACACACACACACACACACACACACACACACACACACACACACACACACACACACACACACACACACACACACACACACACACACACACACACACCACACACACACACACACACACACACACACACACACACACACACACACACACACACACACACACACACACACACACACACACACACACACACACACACACACACACACACACACACACACACACACACACAGTAAATACCACTCGTCCACTGAGCATCACTTTCTGCAGCTCCATTTAAAAGGAAATCTTGTCCGCTGCGACATAACATCTCTATGATTTGATTTAAAGCAGACAGCGTGTCCTCTGAGAACATGCAGAGGTGAGGAGTGTTTGAGCGGGGACAGGATGTTCCGACGTGCAGTACAGCCTGCAGACTGAGATTTCACAACATCATGTCAGCTGCACCTGACCAGGAGGAACACGCTGTTCAGCACAAAGCCAAAAGGCTCTGAGAATTTAATAAGCATTACAGCACTTTATCTAAATATCAGGTTTATTTTATTTTCTAAACATATCTTTATTTTACAATTTTACTTCACATTATTATTTTTAAATACAATATTTTTCATTCTATTTTATTTTTTTATTTACTATAACACCCTATGTTTATATTAATATTCCTTTTAAATGTAATATCTTTTATTTCACATTCTCACTTATTTTTATGTTTTATACATATTTTTATAATTTTTTATCTTATATTGGACATTTCACTTTAACTACCTATGTTTATATAAATATCATTATTTAATATTTGATTGCACATTCTTAATTTAAAGGTCACCTATCATGCTATTTTTAGGCAATAGCATAGGTCTCAGATATATAAAAAATATATAAAAAACATATCTATGAAGTGTTTTGCTCAAAATACCAAACAGATCACCCATTCTAGCCATGCCTCATATCCCTCTATTTCACTTCCTGTTTCAAACGTGCTGATTTGGGGTATAAAGCTTTAAATAAATAAAAAGGAGGGGGCTGAGCTCATGCGGGACCCGGCAGCTACTGTCTAAACTAAATACTGCCGTGATGAAACGCCATATCATGGATTATCAAGGATTATCTCTGAAACAGTATGGAGCTCAAAGGCTTTCTCTCTTGCCGGTTATACCACAAGGTGAGTTCCTTTTTATTTCCTGCTTCTTCACACACATGCTCTCCAGTACAGGTTAGCTCTGAGTGTTAGCGATGCTAATGTAAACACCGACCATATTACGTCCAAAACAGTCGGGCATTGTTTCTGATAGCAACGTTTCTGATAGGGCCGTGGGTGTAAAGCCAGCCTACATTTCCCATATTACGTCATATCGGACGCAAATCTGGATCAGCTCCGTTGTAGCCCCGTTTTTAGAGATTTGGGTACGGAGGAAAAGAGAGAGGGTTTTATTTTCTGACGCTGCGTGAGTTCCCCGACACACCGGGGACACATATTTATGTATAAAAGACATCAAAAAGTGCATTTTGCATGATACTGTAGGTCCCCTTTAACTGATGTTTATATAAATATATATATATATTTTATTTTATATTTATGATATGATTCTTGGACATGGGTCTTATCTTCAGCTAACAATATTTTATTTTATGTTTGACTTATATGCATGTCTCCTGCCTCTGTGCATATCCCTCTCTCCGGATCTATTTTTGGCCGATGATGATGTGACAGCTCTGACCTGCCCACTCGCTGCCGGTTACCGTGGTTACCTGAGAAAAGTAACCGAGGCAACTTCACTGCAGCCAAGGAGCAGAAATATTAAATCACCTTCTCACGCTGAACCCTGCTCTGTTTCTATATCTGTGAGGTTTATATAATAACTTTATGGTAAGTCTCACATTTTGCCTCATGCAGAGAGGAGTGTTACCTGTCATGGCGGAGAGATCAGCATCGTTGGTGAAGATGTTTTTTATTCCCAGATCCTGCAGCGTGCTCCTCAGGTCGATCTTCTGCTCCACTTTGAACCTGGGGAAAAGCCATGAGAATTTAAGAAAAACATCAGATGCCACGTGATGATGGTCGGAAGTATGAGGTGGATGCAAAGGCAGTTTTAGACCAACTTTACATGGGGGGGGGCTATCGTGCTGGCACCAGATATTTTACGAGAGGGGTACTGACACAGACAGTGTTCAGAATTTCACTATTCTTGGTTAGGATTAGAGTCTTTGCACACAAAAAATCCTCATAAAATAACATGATTGGTATTTGTTTTAGTAGAGTTTGTGTCACTTTTTTATTAAAGGGACCCTTTTATGCTCATTTTCAGGTTCATATTTGTACTTAGGGCCTCTACTGTGACATGTTTACAGGTGTTTAGAAGGATTATTTGTTAAAAGTATGTTGCTAAATAGCTTGCACCAAGAAATGTTGACTAAATAATGAGAGCTCCTGGAGAAAGGTACCATGAGTAGATGATAACTTATCATTTTGTCACAAAGAAAAACACAAAACCAAGACGACAATGTGCTGGGTTGGCAAAGTCAAATGTTGTTATTGTTATGTTTTATCGATTTAAAGCAAAGGATTTAAAAAATGTCCCCCTCAGGAACTATAAAGAATCCTTCTATTTGAAAATGTAGCTAACCACTAATGGACGCACAAGTAACCAAGGCATGTTGAGGGGAATTAGGTACACAAAACAGAAGATGTTGTATAGCAGGTATTCCTCTCTCACCTGGGCATGTAGACCTCCACCTTCTGCCGCTTGACGTTGTTGGCCCACTCCTCCAGCAGCGCTGCTTTGAAGATGGGCTCCAGCGAGGCCAGAGGCACTTCCTGCCGCGGCAGAACGATCAACATGGACATGTCCTCGCCCTCGTACGGCATCTCCAGCACCTGGTACACACCGCCAGCCTCCTGTGAGCCGTCGCTGAACTCACCTGGTGGCGAGGAGACAAACACAATGCAGGTATAATTATACACACACACATATTACGTAGGTGTCTTTTACACTGGGGATGCTGGGGATATAACCCCACCACTTTTAGAAAGTATAACAATTCTTGATGCGAAATACAATTGAATCGCATTGCTCTAACAGCACATGCTCTTTTGATGTGGTTATGCTTTTTTTCAGACACACCATAATCATCTTCATAAAACCAACACACCGATTACATATCTCAACATCGCATGTTAAAGAACATTTTTAAAGGGGCTCTATGATGCTAATTTTCAGGTTAATTTTGTATTGTGTGCCTCTACTGTCACGTGTCTCCATGCTTTAATGTTCAGAAAGTGTTTTATTGTTCTGATACTGCCTGTGCTGCAGCACCTCTTTTCACCCTCTGTCTGAAACCGTTTAGAGATGTCCCGCCCCTTAGCCTATCAGGTACAATGTGTCTGGGCGATAGCCAATAGAAGCACAAGTGTTACATAGTGATGTCATTACTGTATGTTCGAGAAGTTAACTACGGAGTCCAATGGAGGCGTTTCAGGCAGGGGGGGGGGGGGAGTGTGAGGGAGAGAAACTTCTTCTGGAGGGAACACAGGAATTTTAACCTTTGCAGACCATTTTCAAGTTCACACCCACCCGCCCCCCACCCACCCACCCACCCACACACACACACACCCCCACCCACACACACACACACACACACACACACACACACACACACACACACACACACACACACACACACACACACACACACACACACACACCACACACACACACACACACACACACACACACACACACACACACACACACACACACACACACACACACACACACACACACACACACACACACACACACACACACACACACACACACACACACACACACACACACACACACACACACACACACACACACACACACACACACACACACACACACACACGACTTGGCTGAGGAGGAGGAGGCAGTAAGCACGTTAAAGCACATCGATCAACAGTATTGATCAAGTGTGTGTGGTCATTTCCCTGATGCACTAATTAAAACCCACTGGTGCTTCACTCTAACGTCTTTACATTTTCTACACACTGTATTTGAGCAGGAACGGCTGTTTTTTGTGCAACTCCCTTTTCTCACTGCAAAACTGCAAGCAGCAAATAAACCCAATTTGGGCTCCAAAAAAACCTTCTGCATGTATTCACACACACATTTAGAGCAAAATTCATCACACGAACATAGACCCAAATCTTCTTAGAGACACACTACAGAGGATGGGAAAGCCACAGATATAAATTATAATCGGGAAAAGCCAACAAGCATTTAGTTAAATTAAATGAAACGCATATCTTTTTGAGATAATCCTTTTATCCTCAAAACGTCCACCTAGAATTAAAATTAAAATAAAACATTATCCCCCTCACTGAGGTATTTGCATTTGTGTGTGATGGAGATTACAGAGCGTTTAACATCCCCAGTCTTTATCTCAATCTTGGCACATTATTTTTCTTTTGAAGCTTCTTAAAAAAGGGAAACAAAAAGCGTTTCATCCTTCATTACCTTACATGTGGCGTCTTGCTTTTGTATGTATGCACAGTGAGGCGATGTTGCAGCAGACAGCGGGGTGGGGTTTCTAAAAACAGTTTACATGATTGTGCTTCAGAATTCAAAAGCAGATTTCTCCCCGAGGACCTGTCCCTGTTCTCCTGTTTTGCACGCACGCACGCACGCACGCACGCACGCACGCACGCACGCACGCACTGGAATTATTCAGATATAAAAGCATTATAAGCGTTACTTGAAAAAGGTTATTTTATTGTCAGTTTTCTCCATCAGAAAACACAGTGGAATACTTTGTGTATCAGGAAGTAAACACTAGCGCCCGAAACACCTCCATGAGACTCCTTTGTTTACTTCCGGAACATAGTGACATCACTACGTAACACTCACACTTCTATTGGCTAGCGCTCTAATACATTGTACGTGAGGTGCTGCAGCACAGGCAGTATGAGAAAAATAAAGAGCTTTTTGAACATTAAAGCATGAAGACATGTCACAGTAGAGACACTAAATACTAATAGGAACCTGAAAATGAGCATATAGGGCCATTATGGCGCGTTTCCACTGCAGCGCGGAGCCCCGTTTAAGAGAGCTGTGACGTCAGCGGCCCGTTTTTGGTTGCGTTTCCACTTGGCCTAGTACCGGCTAGCGGGTCCTAATTCACAGTTTTTCTGGCCCCATAAAATCGTGGTTCTAGGGCCAGGGACAACCAGGCTGAGTCGGGCTGAGTATGCTAAACTAGAGAGAGAATCGCTGGCAAGGGGGCTACAACTACAACAAGATGGACATATTTGACCGTGATTTAATTGTAATACACGTTTCAAAATGATGCCGAAGTAACAACATACTGATACCGGTTAGTAAAAACCATGAATTAATGCTTTGACAAGTCTGCAGACAGACGGCTGGCAAAAAACCTTTTAAAATGCGTGTTGTCTAATGGAGATCGGCTAAGCTAACGTTGTATATGCTCCGACCGTCCACACTCACAACAACGGCCTATACAGACATAAATAAAGCAGCGACTGTATTCGCCATGACACAGGCAGTCTGTGGTTTGTACTTGTTGTTGGTTTTCTGTGGTTCTCATTGAAGATGACGTCACGGCTCCGCCTACACTGCGTTACTATAGTTACTACCCCAGTTCCTAAACTGTAATGGAAACGCAGCATAAAGTGAGCCGGTCCTAACAAGGCCTAACGAGGCCTAGCCATACCGAGCGAGGCCGTGTAGTGGAAACGCGCCATAATAACTCAAACTGTCGCAGTACCGCTAATATTGTATGACATTAACAAAGAAGGCTTTAAAATAATAAAACTGGATCCATTAGATATACCAGAGTGTATGCTAGTGAAGACTATCATACGCATTAAAGCTCACTGAGCAGAAAAGATGAGCCTTGTGGGAATAACACTCCAAATATGAATATTTCAGATCTAAGATTAACATTTTAAATATCCTCGGGAAATACCAGCCCAAATGTAAGGGCTACACACCCACACCACACCCCCACACCCCCACACACACACACACACACACACACACACACACACACACACACACACACACACACACACACACACACACACACACACACACACACACACACACACACACACACACACACACACACACACACACACACACACACACACACACACCACACACACACACTCCCTACCGTAGTAGAAGTCTCCCTGCTGGTACATCATGAGCGTCTGGACCTCGGAGCCGTCGTCTCGGCTGAAGGAGAAGGTCCTGGTGTTTTCTGGCCTGAACTGGTTTTTCCAGGAGCCCCTGAAGTAGACGGCGTTCACCAGCGTCAGGCGGGTCACGCTGCTGAAGTCCTCGGCTGAGAAAAGATCATGGATCTTACCTGGAGAGGGAATTCAAAATCTTACTTTAGTAAAATCAACCAAATATACTTGACGTACCAAAACTAAAAATACTCATTATGCAGAATGGCCAATTCTGAACAAATGTATATTTGATCACAGGATTATAATTATTGATCCATTGATCCTGTTAAACTGGCTTTCAATTGAATTGCAATTATTCTTACTTTATTATTTTATTCTTATTTCATTTTATTCCACCTTTATTATTTGATTTGTTATTTAATGTATTCTTATTTTCATTGTTACTTTATTATTAAAATGTTGTTTATTCAGTCCTCTGTTGTTATCAAGTGTTCTCATTAATCACAAAGCTATATGTTACTGTGTGTTAGTATTGCTTTTGCTTTGTGACGCACTTTGTGTTACCTTTGTGTAAGTACAAATAAAGTTTGATTTGATGTAATTAATGTGATCATGGTAATGACTTTTTAAACTGCCATGTATTCATTACAATTGTTTTGGTAGAAGATGATGTGATCAAACAAATCAGATGCATGTCCTTTAGTAAGATGAGATTGTGAGCGTCTCTCTAACTCACTCTCGGTGTGATTCTCCACCCAGGTGTTGATTTGATCGGCCACGGCGGCTGATTCGCTGAAGTCCACGGTCTCCACGTCAGCCTGGAAGTACTTCTTCATCAGATGCAGGAACTCGGGGTTGAAGGTGATGCCTTCCTGCAGGAGGAGGCTGTTGGCGAACCGGATCACGTAGTGGGCGTTGTCTTCAGACAGCGCCGCCGTCAGGTTCTGCAGCAAAGAGAACTCCACGCCTAAAGGACAGAGAGACACGTCCATAATGTAGCTGTGTGTCCAGAGAACAGTGATCCGACAAAGATGTGCTTTTTAGTTAAACAATGGTACAGCAATTGGAACAAAGACCCCACCCAGTAGAACTAACACACATTTTGTAAGTTTAGCTTCTTCATGGTTAGATGCACTCAATGCCGGTTGCTTTTCTAAACAGTGGCTGTTCTTGACCGTATTTTCTTGGGTGCACATCAAATGCAGCACACAAACAAGAGGCAGTGTTTATCATTTTTAGGTGAGTATAACGATGAAGACAACGAAATAATTAGATTGTAATTTGTGTCTATAACTCAGTTAACATGGTGTGACATTATTAAAAACACATTTTTGTTAACTTGGTTCTGGTTAAAGAAGTATTTGAATAAAAACTGAATTATCATAGACTCTTCCTTTGGAGGGGGGCCACAGGTGGGTCCAAGCCCAGTGTAATAGGGTCCCAGCTGCACCGCTAAATGAAATCCAGCTAAATGAAATTCAGCTAAATGAAATGTGATGTTATGAAATTGTATTCAACTCCTCTTCCTTCCCCCACCTATAGCCCTAATGCTGGTGTGTTTGCGGCTGTGGCTCCGGTTAAAGCAGTCTTTGAATAAAATCATAAATGGTATTATTATTGACTCTTATTTTGTAGGGGGGGCAACAGGGGGGGTCCAAGCTTAGTGTTACAGGGGCACTGGAGAGCACCCAGAACCACCCATGCAGCTGAATGAAATGTAATTAAATCATTTTCTTTTCATTAAACTCCCCTTCCCTAACCCACCTGTAACACTAAGACTTGTGTGTTTGCGGCTGTCTCTCACCTGGCAGCAGATGGCTGAAGCCCACCGCCTGGCGGATCTCCTCCAGCGAGGCCCCCCGGGCCCCCAGCTCCACCATGCCCAGGGCCAGAGCCACGCTGAGGGGGGAGAAGACGATGTTGTCCTGGTCCCCCGCCGCCTGCAGCCGGTGGTACAGTCTGACCGAGAACTCTGCTGTCGTGTCCTCCGGAATGTCCGCCGCCCGGCAACTGTAGCGCGGCAACAGGAAGAGGAGGAGGAGGAGGAGCGGGGAGAAAACGTCCAAGATCAACATCGCAGCACGGACCACAGACAGCTGGAGGGGGAGAGAGGAAGAGATGAGGGATTTAATGTGATGTGTCAAAAAATAGTTGGGGAGGAAGGAATGGAGAGAAAAGGGGGAGGATAGAAGAGAGAGGAGGATTGCAAAACAGGAGAGAGGGGTTGAGAAAGATAAAGGTAGAGAAGATTACTGCGTATGGGAGAAAAAGAGATGAAGGTCAAGAGGATTTTGAAAGTAGAGAGGGTCGGGATGTGGAGGCAGGACACATCTGTCATCTGACATTCTGCCAAATGAAAGAGGGCATACGAGGCTCATTTTCAGGGTCATATTAGTGTGTTGTGCCTCGACTGTGTCTCCAGGCTGTCATGTGCAAAAAGCTCTTTATTTTTCTCGTACTGCCTGTGCTGCAGCCCCTCTTTTCACCCTCTGTCTGAAACCAGAGCCCAGTCTGCTCTGATTGGTTAGCTGGCTGGCTCTGTTGTGATTGGTCAACCGCTTAGAAATGTTCCACCCCTTTGCGTACTAATGTGTTGTGAGCGCTGGCCAATAGAAGTGCGAGTGTTACATAGTGATGTCACTTTGTTACAGAGCTTTGGGATTTTCGCCTTTGCAGACCATTTAAATAACAAAAACCTATATAACACACTAAAGGAAAGGGAATACCCCCAAAAAGACATATAGAGTCTCTCTAAGATGCCCAAACAAACATGTATCGTATAACAGAGAAATATTGATAGGGAGAGAAACATATCTGCAATACAGTCTGGAATAACACATTTCTTTTGTTGTTTGTCTCTGTGCTGGGCTGTTGTCATTATGCAGTGTGTATTATGGGTTGGAATCTGCTGGCGGCTGCTACTGTGTGTGTGTGTGTGTGTGTGTGGGGGGGGGCGTCAGGTGACACAATGTACCTGAGAGTCAACAACAATAGGCAGCAGATACAGAAGCAGAGCCCCCATCCTGTTGTCCTTTCCCTCTGCTGTGCCCTGGGATTGGCACAAAGAGCAATGTTCCCTTTCAAAATAAAAGCGCTACAGCCTCTGGGACGCATAAATGTCACGCCCTACAGGATTAGTCCGGTGATATTTCTTCTTATTGTAATTGTATTCTACGAAAGACCAAAACCAAGGATGAATTAATCCTGGTGTTCTGTGTCTATGGAGCCAAAGCGTATTCCTCTGTGGCCATTGTCGTGCAAAAACTATAAAAATATCAGAGCCACACTGTTGGGTGTAATGTTGCCATGTTAACGTGCATTCTTTTGACTCCATCCAACACCTCCCACCTGTTTCAAATCGTCACTAGAGCAATCTGTTGCTGAAAATAGTCCCCCACAAACTCACTGTTTCTGAGGATGTCCATGTTTGATAAACTCCCCCGGCCTCTGAAGCATGCCGTCTCAAGGTGTTGGGTTTAAATGGCAGAAAGGATTAACGGTGAACTTGCGTGACGTCACATTTAAATTGTGGAAATGTCAACTGCCGATCTATTCTGTCTGAGAATTAGGATTACACCGAGAGATTAGAGGGGTTTGCTTTTTAAAGGCCAGTGAGTTTAATTGCACGGAATGAATCAAGTTGTCAGGATTTGCAACTCGAACCAGGAGACGGTTCTTTTTTTTTTAAGTCACGAGAGAACATGTTACAGCTGGGCGTTGGGTTTCCCCTCTGTCAAAGTTGGGCTGTTATTCATCAATGGCCAATCTGACAACGTGCCACAACTCAAAAGGTCAGAATGGTGTCACTGTTACACGTAATAGCCAGCCACCCTTGATGTTATTATCCACTCTCACACAGGTTCACACACAATGATGCTCCACACACCACTTTCCCTGGCTTTGCTGCATGGCTGGCTCCTTCCCGTACAGAAAGCAGCGCTGTCTGTCTCATGAAAGTTCAGCTCCCACAGCTCAGAAGGTCAGGAACATTACCTCCATTTACATCTGTGCCAGCCGCCCCCCTCCCTTCTTCTTACTCTCTCTGGGTGTCTTTGCCTTCAGTGACGCACGTGGTGAACAAACGTGACTAACAGTTTATTAACAGCAGTACACAAGGATGTGCCTTCAGGTGTCATTTGATTTTTCTGTTAACGTCTATTTAAAGTGCAAAGTGAATGCATCAAGGCTTTAACGACAATTTATGCGCCTCAAATCAGAATCAGGGTTATGGCCAAGTAATATTGCACGTACCAGGAATTAGCTTTGGTGTAGATGGTGCTTATAAACACAGTATGACGAATTGAAGAGGCCCTAATATGTTTTGGGGGGTTTTCCCTCTCCTGAAGTGTTCTATAGGTTTTTGGGTGAAAAGAGGTGCTGCAGCACGGGCAGTATGAGAAATATGAAGAGCTTTTTGAACATTAAAGGTGGGGTAGGTAAGTTTGAGAAACCGGCTCGAGATACACTTTTTGTTATATTCCATGGAATGCTCTTAACATCCCGATAGCAATGAATATTTTAAGTGCTTTGACAAAAAATCCATAAAAAAATGTCATCTGTGGAAGCTGTAGTACTGTAAAAAGCACGACCAATCATCTGAGCCGGCTAAAATAACTGGATGGCCTACCTGCCTGTCAGCCTTCCATCTGTGCACAAACTTATCTCGTGCCCTCATTGGTCATGTGCGCGTTCGTGTGTGCTGGAGGAGGGGCTCTGTAAGGAAGTGGCAGATTTTCTCCGGTTGTGTATTTTCAAATTCGCACTCGAGCTGGTTTCTCCAAAATGACCTACCCCACCTTTAAAGCATGGAGACGTGTCCCAGTAGAGACACTAAATACTGATATGAACCTGGAAATTAACATAATATGTTGTCTTTAAATACTGCTGCTAAATTAAATATATAACGGGTGGTTTGAGGAGAGACATTTAACAACACAATAAAACTGTTAAGGATTAATATCAATTTAGATTTAAGGACACGAGGTCAGGGAAGAGATAAGAAGGGTAAAACTGTATATTGTGACACACACACACATTTCCACACGCCGAGGCAACCAGAGCATCTGCAAGTGATGGACATTTTTCGTTTTGTCAAGCTGACACACATTTCTTCCTCTTTAAACATATCTTCCTCCTTCCACAGAGGCAGATAAAGTCTCTTTCCTCTTTGCACTCACGACTCAGCATTTTCTGTCTAACCCCTCTCTCTGCAAGAACTCTTTAAACTAGCTCCAGTTCTGTCACTCAATGACATCGCCTACAACACACACACACACACACACACACACACACACACACACACACACACACACACACGACACACACACACACACACACACACACACACACACACACACACACACACACACACACACACACACACACACACACACACACACACACACACACACACACACACACACACACACACACCACACACACACACACACACACACACACACACACACACACACACACACACACACACACACACACACACACACACACACACCACACACACACACACACACACACACACACACACACACACACACACACACACACCACACACACACACACACACACACACACACACACACACACACACACACACACACACACACACACACACACACACACACACACACACACACAGTTCACTCTGTAGTTTGGCAAGCTCCAGCTCTTGTGCAGAAAGTCCCGGAGCACTATCATCCTTCTTTAACCCACTTCCTGCTCCTGCTCAAATCACAGCACCCTGGTTCATATCACAGGCTCTAAGTACACTTCCAAACTCATCTGCACTTTGACGAATTCTGTGAAGAATGCTAACGTCTCCGTCTCTCTGGGAATAAACTGCAGAGAAGCGATTATCTCTTGCCCTGAAAAACGTTCTAAGATGGACACTTGGTTATAAATGTCAGAGTAATCCCGCACGATTTCACCGTGAGGATGTATAACTTATAGCGGGGCTTTGAACTGCAGAGATGAAGACAATTTGATTATTATTCACGAATCGTCCTTGGAGAAGACACTTCCTACATGTTTGTTCTGGGCTTGATAGAAATGCAAGTATAGGCTCATGAACATTCCCACTAAAAATGAATGTAAACCTACACATGTCACACTTTCCCCAGTTTGAATAACCACGCTCCCTCTCCTATTGATCACCCGCTGATAAAGGAACTCCTTTGTTGGAGCAGAGGATTCACACAGAGAGTCTGCAGTAAAGACCACCAGTGGGTTGAGCCTTTAAAGAGGCCCTATTGTCCTTTTTGGGGGGGGGGGGTTTCCCTTCCCTATATATGTGTGCATGTAAATGGTCTGCAAAGGCTAAAATCCCCAAACACACATGATCCCAAACACAAAGGATCACTCAGATAGTGTTTGTAGATCAACTTCTACATTTTCATTCGGATATTTTCACATATTTTGCTCATCAACAAATATTTCGGTGCTGCGATTTGGATAATGCACTAGACTAGTCGATATTGCTTTGATTGATTGTTCAACCATAAAATGTATTTGAACCCAAATATTCATAACACACTCATTTTCATTGTTAAGGTAACAAACAATGTGATAACCCGGTCTGTGCTACTCTTGCTAATGGAAGAAACAATACACTACAGGATTCATTTTGTCCTCAAATCAAGAAAGAATATCATAGATTTAGGATGACTATTCATCTTTTTTTAAAGGAAATTATAAATATGAATGTTTCAGATCAAAAAGAAAACACTCCTTTTTCTTATAGGTAAGTAAACTGCTCCTCTTGTAGAGGTTACAGTATTGTACACCGTGCATGTTCATCATTTAAAACCAAACGCTTTAAGCTTTGAATTCAAAAGCAGCATGCAACAGCTCCCCCAAAGCAACCATTGATGCCCCCCCATATTCACACAGGTATTTCATTTATTTTTCATTGTATGAAATATTAAAACGCTACGTGTCAGGGAATACGCTTCAGTGAATGACTTTTTAATTAAATCTTAGAATAAGACTGGTCCCTTTAGCAGATAAGCCTGGAGATCAAAACAACAGTGAACTATAGGCCATCCCTCTTCCTGCAGACTCAAGGTGACAGTCGTTTTAA